TTCCATGTGTATACATACATGCATGCATGCATACATACACAGATACATACATATATTTGTATTTATTTACATTTGTACTTGTTTATTATTCATCTATTTAGCTATTTAAAATTTCTTTTTATGCAAAGAGATGCAGATCTATGTGTACATGTAAAGGTGTATGTACATGTATCTGTATATGTATACACATATGTATATGTATATGTCTATGTTTCTGTATATGTATCTGTATATGTAGATGTATATGTATATGTAGATGTAGATGTAGATGTAGATGTATATGTAAATGCGTATGTATATGTATATGTACATGTACATGTATATGTACATATGTGTGTATATATATATGTTGGTATTTATATGTGTCGCAGAACGGGGATATCTATATTATGTGCAACCACATGAACAAATCATACAGATTTGTCACATCAACACAAGCGCACTCGGTTTTGATCGTCTTGCCAAAGCCAGCTCCTCGCCAAACTTGAGGTCAGCCCGCACAAAGAGTGAGCCTGAGAACTTTGCCAGGCGGCGACAACTGCGAGGCTGGCCCATCGGCGCATCGCGAAACCGGACGCATGAGCCGACTTTCAGACTTGGGGATGCTTGGGGATTTCGAGGACTTTGGCCCTTTGGCTATGTTATGATGTATGGGGCTGAAAGTCCCGGGATTTGGGTTGTAAGTTACGTGTGGTTGGCAACTGCACATTGGCTGCAGAGCTTTTGATTCCTTGCCAGGTGCTCGGCTGGCAACTCCAGATGTACGCGTGTATAAATAGATGTCGAAGAGTGTTTTGTACAAGGAAGAGTGTGTTTTGTGCGTGTGTGTACATACATAGGGTTCATCTCCATACGTAAACTGTTTTCTGCACACCAATCAATATCTACAACAAGCGACGTTCATATCGAAGCGGCGTTTCCGTTCGAGTCCGCGATGAGGAAACTCAGATGATTTGGCAACTCGAATGCGGTCGATGCTGACAGGAGCCTAAAAGCTGCAGAAGCTCGCTTCAGCTGGCTACCTCCACGGAAACTAGCTGCATGCTGGACTGTGACACTGCGAAGCATTCTCTCACAAAGATGCAGAACGGCCTATGACATGACATGAGATGACATGGAGCGGCGGGTCACGCTGGCAACTCCGTGAACTTTGTTGTCGAAGGTCCCGGCCATCTGAGGTAGCAAGTTGTGGCTGTTGATGGGCAAGTTCAGACGTGTGCAAAAAGCACACAGCCTACAATATACTCCCTGACTTTCCCGAGAACCGATGCGCTAGCCAAGTCAGGACAGGCGGGCGCAACGCTTCCTGAGACCCTGAGCGCCGAGAGTAGGAGTGTATGGGGCCCCCCGCAGTCTTCAGACCCCAGGCGCGTTCGACGTGGTAGGCCAGTGGGCACTCGTAGGTCACCTCTCAGACGGCTTTTGCTTCTTCTTTCAAAAACAGGCCCCAAAAGTGGCTCAGAGACTCGGGTCAGGCACGTAGAAGAGCTCTCCATCAGGATGCGGCTTGACTCCTTCAGACTCAGACTGACGCGGCTCAAGGGGCAAAGAATGACAACTTGGCCCAAGCTGAGAATCTGAAGAATCTGACTGCATAGATCTGCCTTCGCTCGCCACTGCTTCACGCCACTTGCCCAATGCCTCCTCTGCCCGTGTCACCTGGACACTGCTTGTGAGGCGATGATCTTTTGGTGCACTTGCGATGCATGCGGCTTACGGCTTCTTAGAGACAGAACCATGAATTCCGCAAGCCTCGCCTGCACGACCTGGAAAGGCGGCTTCAGGTCACACCAGAACTTGAAGCGGGCTGCCCTGGGCGATGGCACGATGGCGGTCGCTCAGAGGATTTAGGCCAAAGGGGGTCGGGGTTTGCGCGCGCAAAGTCTCAAACTCGGACATATGAAATCTCGAAGATCCTCAGCTCGACAAGAGTTTTGGCATAAGCCACAGACCCGGAGCGGAGGGCCACCGGCACGTTCTCAGTATGTGCACTTCACGAAGCTCTCTGCCACGAATCACCTTGAAGACTTGAAGATCCGAGGGCTGAGGTTCCCCACCTGTGGGTCCAAAAACTCGCCCACCTGTGCACGATTGGAAGACATGACGCTTGGATCTTCGAACCTGTCACTCACACTACATGGTGCGACGCACGTATTGGTTCAAGGCTCATGAGATTCAAGCGGTGCGCGTACAACCTGAACACTGGCCACTGCGCTGCTCATACAGGCAGGCATATGTGGCCTCTTTTCGCTGCGGGTGCTCTTCCTGGGTCTATCGGATAACGGCTTCGGCCATCATAGTAAAGCAACAAACTCCATGCACAACAAGCTCAATAAACGGAGAGCGTGCGCACACCAGAGCATGCACCTTCGAGACTGCCATATGCCCCGCAAGAAGCTGGGAGGCTTGCATCGCGCTGAATGTGGTAGTACGTCCAGGAGAGGACATGCTCCAACCTATGCTAATCTGCGAATCATCCAATAGCAGGCTGAGTACTGCAGCTTGTGCATGAGGCATGCCAGATATGCCAGATATGCCACACATCGTCTCACGCGGAGTCTTAAGACTGGCACATGCCCCGCATGCGCATGGTGTTCTCTTTGCTCCAGTTCGGCACCTCGAGTTTTCAACGTCACAACAAGTTAGCACAAAAACGGAGTACCAAATCTTGATGAAGCGCGTGCAAGACTGATGAATTGAGCCCTAAGCCGTCTCAGAGCGACAACCCGACAGGAAGAAGAGGAGACGTCGGAAGGAGGATGACGAGATGCGCTCAATCGTGGACTCATGTGGACTCCTCAACCAGACATCCAAGCCGAGCACCAATCCGTTGGCGAAGTCTCGCCTGCAGCAGGCCGAACTCTTCAAAGATGACCGAAGGGGAGTCTGACTAACAGAATGACAGCCATAGGCAAGCAGGGCAGGGATACTTGTCCGAGGGATCACGAACTCCCATGTTTCGGATGTCCTTGGCTGCTGGGCGGGCGCTATGATGCGCCATGGAACGACACTTTTCTGTCTCTCTTGAGCTGCAGGGTAGCGTCATCCCACTCCCGGTAGGATGTGGCCAGTGGCTGCCACGAGCGCCGGTTGGATGGGCTGCCGAACTTGGCAAGCCAATCGAGCGCATGGGCAACTGTTCCCTTCTGAATTGCGCAAGCAATTAAACATGCACCTCTACATAGCCGCAGATATTAGGGCTCTGGACCGTAGCTTGTGAAGCGTTGGTGTACCTTCCAGGCAAGGGATGAATTCTTCTGCATGTGCTGAGGCAATTGCATACAATGTAACTGTAGTGGCAAAACTAAGGGCACCATGTGGTCACCGAGGGCGACTGCTGCGCATGAAGAAGTGGGGCACTCTGAATTCGGCCTCAAGGAGGACGGAAAGGGCCGAAAGGGCCTTTTTACAGATGTACCTTTGACCGAAACCTGTCTTTAGCAGCCGTGCGGCTCATGGGACGGGTGGTGAAACCGCCCGTTGAGCGAAGGGTGTGGAGCTTCTCCTGGGCGCTGTTGTACTTGCAAATCGGTAGGCAAAGGAAACTTGCGCTTCTGCTCTGGGACACGGGCTCCCCGACTTCCAACTGGAGACATTGACGTGTCCTCGGATCCAGTAGGAATGGCTAGCGGATAGAGTTCTGAGGCGCATCAGGCACCAAGGGCACCACTGCATCACTGAAGTGGCTTCGACCTTGTGGCGCGGAAACGATGCCAGTAGCAGAATGCCAGAATGCACAGAGTCACGAACCCGAATGCACATGCAGACAGCGCGGCTTGCAATTGTGCAGTGGACATGTTCGGTCAGGACTCTCTATTCCGACTTTACAAGGCCATACTATCGAACCCCCCCCCCAACAGCTGAATGCAAAATTGAGAGCACAAAGCAAAACATACACGTCTAGAGCCTACAGGCTTCATTCAGACACCTGTCGGCACTCTTGGCACACATAGAAAGCCCGAAAACCTGAGTTTCACACCTACTGTAAAACCGCCGCGCAACAACCGCGCTTGCCGACGCGCACGCATGCTGAGACCACGATTTCCGCTCAACAATCCCTGCGCATTCGGTGAAACACGCCTCACATGGCTAAATCAAAGGCATACGACTAGAACCTGTGAGAGGCTTCGAGAGGTGACTTTTGCCAAGTTGCCGGATCGACCTCCAGGACTGATCTCCCCAGGGTACATCGTCCGAGCCATGGCCTTTGGTGGCATCACATGGATTTTAACCGAGGGGCTTAAGCTTAAGCAAAACTGTGGGGCCTGTGCGCCTTCGGGCCTGGCTTTCGGCTTGGGGTTTCAGGCTTCAAGGCCTCCATGGCGTTCAACTACGCGAAGGCCGGGAGGCTGCAGGCCGGAGTGACAGGAGCTGAGCCGACTGTGATGAGTGTTGGAAGCTTGAGCGTCGCAGGGTGTGGATAAAATCGAGCTGAATCACATTACTTGCACTCGTTCTATGTGTGTGTGCGATATGTATATGTATATTTACATATGATGTTTATAATATGTATATATATGGTAGCATATGCATGTAAGTATACATGCATACATAAATGTAGCAGCGGATCTGCCTAGCCCCCTTTGGGGGAACAAAGCCACTGAATGCCTGCGGATAGAAGCACGAAAGCACAGCCGCAACGCACAAGCCCAAGTATTGGTTCCACTTCACAGGATGCGGCATGGTGTCACACGATTGCTTTAAGCTGGCAGTTGACAATTGAGCTTAAGGGGCCACTGACACCAAAGTTTAAGCCAGGCACCAGCGGGCAGGCATGTCAGCACTGTGGCGTCTGCAAGACCGTGGCCATCCAAGATGCACCCTTCGGAACCATCTGCCCGAGGCGTACATGTTTGACTGTCAGATCTGGATATTGCGTGCTTGTTGCTGCTCAGAAGAAACCCAAGAAAGCAAGCCCTTGGGTCATGCTGGCGCAGCGGGATAGAAGGCATGCGGCATCTGAGCCGAAAGGACTTGCTGGGCGTGACTGATCTCCAGTCCTCCAGGTATCCAACCAGCTCCTGAACACAGGGCGGAAGCGCGGAAGCCTAGCTGCTTAACGATGGAGAACATGAAGCCTGAAGGGGACAGTCTGCCTCGACATCCTCATCGCCTTCCTCCTCATCATCGTCCTCGGCCTCCTCCTCCTCCTGGTCAGCATCCACCTCTCCGAGAGGAGCGGGGACAGAAAGGCCACACGATGCCACACGATTCCAGCTTTGGGCTCCATGTTTCATGTTCCGGTCCATCCCTGATCATGGTCTCCACCTGCACGTCGGCCCCATTCGTCGCCATAGGACAAGGATGGGAGGAGGTACCGACAGTATCGAGATGCTCTGCTCACGCTATGAAAGTCTGAGCCGCTCCGAAGTTTACATCCGAAGGCTGCCGAAGCAAGAGTTGAGGCCCTGGACTTTGCACTTGCTCAAAGTATCGAACTCATACCGTAGTACTGGTAGCTGTGGTATAGTCTGCGGAAACATGTTGCATTTCCCAGCAGCTTCGTCGAAGAATGGGTCTTGATTGGTCTTGCCAAAAGGTGCAGCGCATGAGACAACCCTCATCACAATCAACGCGAATGTTTGGTGCTTCGTCTTTTCATGTCTCTTCTTGCACGGCGCGAACGTCTGCGCAGCAACATCCTCATGGTTCAGTTCCGAATTGCGGCCGGTTAAGCCGTTGCGCGCAGGAGATTCTTGTCAATCAAGACTCAAGCTTCCACCGAGGAAAATGTCGGCACACTGGTCAGTGTAGAAGTAGCGGCCTTGCAAGAAGGCCAGAGATTTGTCTCAAAACGAGCTATGGACACGATTTAAACAAAAGCCCAGGGAGCCGGAAAGACAAAAGAACCGCCAATAGCGAGCAATAGCGGCCAATAGCGCGATTTGAACATTTGGCTTCCCGGCAAACTGGCAAATCCACTGTGAACCAACACACTCTGAGCCCCGACCTGTCCATTGGTCCATCCTGGAGCCACTACCTCCCGATCTCTCACAGTCTTCAATCAAAATCTTCACATTTATATACATTGGGCAGGCAGAGAAGATCTGAGTCCAGCCGCAAGCCAGCTGACCCTTGTCCGCAGCTCTCGACTGGGCGGCACCCGCAACAGCGGGCTGCAGATTTCTCGTGGCTTTCTCGAGAGATGTGCCACCGCCGGCAGTCAGAGCGAATTTGGGCGTGCAAGAACAAACCAAAAAGACCAACATCACGGTACATCCATGCTGCAGAACACCATGAATGCCTTGAATGGAAGTTGCTCACATCATCTCACATCAAAGCAGCTACACTAGCTGGAGCCACTTGGGATGACATTCCTTTCATGCCCCGTGCCAGCTCTTGCATGGAAGCGTTCACCTTGAACGCCTTTGAAATCGGCAGAGATGAATGGCTTCACAAGCAGAAAGCAGCACGACCATGGCCAGACCTCCGATCTCACAACATTCAAATGTTCGAGCTTTTAAGGACGGGACATGACATAGAAGACACTCTCGCTAAAGTTAACTACGACTGGGTACCTGTGTGGCATCCAAGTCTGACTGGGGCAACACAAGCTCTGAGGTGTTGGCGCGGCCTCGGACCCCAATGGCTCTCAGAGGCGGGACCACACCTCTGGACGGAAAGATCTGACTCCTATGGCTTGCAGAATGCGGAAAACACCTAGACCTACATTGACTACATTGCCGAAATGGAGGCAGTGAAGAGCGGGCAGAGACACCATATTTATCAGCTCATCCTAACTCAGACACCCCTCGGGCCTGCTGCTTCATCAGGGGTGGAGGTGGATCTGCAGAGGGCTCCTCGATGATCTGTCCTGCAACTACACCACAAGGCCACAAGGTAAGGTGTAAGTTGCGTAAGACCTGCGTAAGGGCCTCTAAGTGTGTTAGACCGTGCAAAGGGTTTGGTCCAGGGAAGCCTAGGGCAGTGACCTGCTGGAGACAGGCGCACTGGGCGGCCCGAGGCAATGGAGCGATGAGCAGCCACGCCTTACGCATCCAGCCCAGCACGCTCAGAAAAGCTTGAAAAATGAACCGGCAATAGAACCCGCATCTCACAATGCTGTAGAGCAACCCATGAGCACAGCCATCTTTCCATCACGCGCGGTCCTCGGCGCAAGTATGTGCAGCCATGTAGCAAGTGCACAGCAATCTCTGCAGCTGGAGTGTGCAACTGGCTACCGACCCAGTGACCACATGCGTGTAGCCACGGGTCACTGGCACGGCACGCTTGCCCTGAACGGCTTCTGCAAATGCCTGTAGCTCGAAGAATGTGGCACCTTCATGGTACCCAGCCTTGATTTGTGCTCACGACTTGACTTGACTCACCAGCGGGGTATCCCAAGCGCGTAGTCAGGTGTGGCATACACTCTGTCGACAGTGCTATCCAGGTGCGGCTGCCAGCTCGCGGGAGATTGGAAGTCGGATGATTTCCGGCACAGCCCTCTCGTCCTGAGCACTCTTTGTGGCTTCTCCGACCTACATCCGTCTTCACATCAACGTTCACTGTCCCCCGCACTCCTTCCCAGGTGGAGTACGCCCCAAACCACGCACCTTTCGCCGCTGAACAATGCGAACCTCGGTGTCATCGCTGTGCTGAAGCATAAAGGAAAAGAACCACAGAACAACACTCAGACGAAACAGCTGGACATCGGATGCAACAGAAAAACGGTCCGATCCATGCTGCGGAGCTTCGGTGGACTCCGGGCATTTGGCTTCCACGCTGCCTTGTTGGCAAACCACTCGCACCTGGCAACGGGACGATATTGCGAACGCCTTGATTTGACACAGGATCGTCGTTTGTGTGGGGAATTGACCCCGAGGCTCCTCCAAGTGAAAGGCCAAGTTATGAAGTATTAGGTGACATCGGGCATCGGTTGATTGCAAGCCCCCATCGAAGACAGGCAATCTCGTCCATAAGTCACTTCCTGACGGCACTCCTTGTGTTGTTAGAGCTCACGATCGCAGTATACCACGCAAGTTTGGAGTCCTTGTACATTAACATTACACCACTCCGCTTGCTTCACAAGAGCTTCTTCTCTTCCTGCTCCAGAGTGAGGGCCTGTTCCGTTTGCTCATCTTCGGCAAACATGCAGAGGTCCAGCGAAGCTCGCGCGCCGTTGGCAAACTCGACGACCTGGGTAGCACGCAAGCACGCAAGAAGTCCTTACTGTAAAGCCTCACAATATCTCAACACCCCGAGCATGCTGAAAGTAAAGGTCACGGGCCTACAAGACGTGTCCAAAAAAAACACTGAAATCCTACAAGCAAAGCAAAGTCACTGGAATGTTTGTGTTGCGTTCGGTTTTGCCAGCTAAACTGAGCATGTGAGCAAGAATGGTCTTGCAGTTTGCTTCGGATTCCTGGACCAGTGGCACTTGTAACATGACAGCAGCACACTGAAAGCCCCTTTTTGGCCTCTAAAACGTGTCCACCGCCACTTTAAGCGTGTCTAGAGTCTAGAAGAGTCTAGAAGAGTGAGATTGAGAGACTGTGGCCAGGGCTGGTGCGCTCACTCGTGCGATGTGCAATATCCAGACTTTGCGCACCTGAGACACCCAGACACGCCGTCACAGTCGGCATTGTGTTTGCACTTTGGCCCATGCTTGCCCGGAACACACTTTCCGGACTTGGCTGGCGTCGTGTGGCCCGAGTTGTCAGGCTTCTCCTCATGCGTGCAGAAACCGGAGCGGGCGCAGCGCATGCATCCCGAGTAACTCCAGCAATCGATGTCCCCCTTGCACGCTGGGCCGCGTTTGTTGGGGCTGCACTTCTCAGAGCTCGCAGAGCTCTCATAGGATGGGCTTGGTGCATTGCCCCAAGAACCATGCCCAGACTCATCCTTCTTTTCAGCTGGCTTCGTCTCGTGCGTGCAGAATCCGGCATCCGTGCAGCGCATGCAGCCCGAGTAGCTCCAGCAGTCGATGTCCCCCTTGCATGCTGGCCCCTGCGTCTTCGCACTGCAGGCGCTGGTACTGCTGGGACCGCTGGGACCCGAGCCATGGCTGCCATGGCTCCACGGTGAAGGATCTGAATCTCCGTGGCTCCATGCATTATGGCTTGGTGTGTGAGTCCAGCTTGAGCTTGAACCCGAGTCCGCGGGGCCCTCGGCACCCTTTCCACAGACTTTCTCAAAAGACTCCGCGTCCGCCAGCTTCCAAACACGATCGCTGCCTGCGCAGGCTGACAAGTAGACCTGGTCATGGGAGGCAACCGACCAGACGCAAACGCCGAGGCGCTGCAACTGGTCAGCTGCGTCCACAGCCGTGCCTCCGGTTGCTCGAATACCGTCCATGATCTGCAGGGGCCTTGGGGCATAGACCGTACACTCACTCACCCACCGCTCTCTCTCAACCTACACAGCTGCACTGCATGCGCTGCTCTTTGACAGAAACGGGCCTGGCAGCGAGCTTGCAGACCTGCTTGAAGTAGTCAGATGCATCTTGGGTGCCAGCACATGTCCCATGCTTCTCCCACTCGTGCTGCTCAAACTGCACCTGGACAGTCAATTGCAGTGCGCTAAGAATCCTAGGCAACGATTGAGCGTCAGCCGGCCTTTCTGCTCTTGGCTTTCTTTAGACATCCCTGCCTGGTGTCGGGCACTTTCAGATGCACTCTGCGGCTCATAGCAAGACACAAGCTCGTTGGGACTCGCAGAGCTCATTGTGGGCCGTAGGCACTGAGAGTTACCATAGGGCGGCACCTGAGGCCAAAGTCCATGCACTCCAGCCCTGGGGTGCTTGTAGTGGCCATCTCCGGTTCCCATCTCCAGTGCTAGGATGCCACAAAGTGCGACCCCGTCACCGCATTCCATCTTGTAGCCATGGGGGTAGTGGCTGCACCTGGCAACACGGGCCGTCTGGTTTCCGCGGAACTGAAGCAGGTGAAGGGCCGCGTCGTCATCGAAAGGGCTGCATCCCACAAGTGCAGACAGCAGCGGCAGCAGGGCGATGCGGGACATGGCGGCAGACTGAAATCTACTGAAATGAGAGCGCTGTATGATCCGAGGTGTTCAGCCACAGTTAAGACTACAAAGTCACGCGACTTGCCACAGGGGTTGTCCCGGCATTCTGGAAATCTGGGGGGTTCCAAGAAGTCGCGGCCGAGAACCCGGCTGCCAGGGCGTGGTCGATGATGTCCGGTATCCCACCATCATACACCTGCACACCCGGAGAACTACCCGCACCTCGGAGCCAAAAAAGCCCAGCTTCCGAGTGCCTCATCCTTATGGTTCATGGCTTGGTCACCAGACGCATAGACGGAGATCGGCTCACCTTAGAGTTGAGGCCGCTCACATGGGTTTCATCTTCTGCTTCTGGGGGCCCTGCTTTGCAGAATGCGACGCATGAGGTCGAAGAAGTGACATGCCTGGTGGTGTTAACGCGGCAAAGCATTCGAGAATCGCGGCTCAGCCCACCACGTGCGTGCCTTTTCCACGAGCGTCCCGCCCGTGTTGCGGTTGAAGCCTGCTCGTCGAACTCACCGCGATGGCAAAGGCTTCAAAACGTTCTAGGTTTTTGCTGATATGTGCTAAGTGTACCTGTGTAAACCTCCAATCCACCATGTACCCCAGAATAGCGAGAAAGTTGCCGGGTACAGAATAGCAACAATTTCAAGCCACCTCAGAAGAGTGCGAGGTTTGAGTGCTACTGAAAGATCCTGGGTGAGATCAGTATAGTCAAGTCTCCAACAACAGCTTTCAGGCCCTGGCCTCTGGAACCGGAAATCCAGTTTTCCCTTCACATTCCCTCGCCAAGCTGCGGTTCCAGTTGTCGACTTTGACGAGAAAGGGAAAGCGATGCTCTCGGATCGAGAGGACCCTCGGCTCACCGAGTTTCCTGTCATATGGGGGGCAGGTACTGCAAAGCATTGCACGGCTTGTGCGTGCAGAAGTGCCCATGCTGCGCGTATCTGTCGAGCATCTGCTGCGTTTCGCGAGCCTCTCGCTAACCACCACTCGCGAAGCTACGCCAACTGGCAGAGGGTTACAAGACAGATGCGGTGTCGCTCCTAGTCGCCGGTTTGGGTGGGGCCGTGAGAGTAGGCTTCTCAACCGCCGTTGCTCGTCCATTCGGCGCCGGCAGTGAGAACAACATGCACACCATCCCAAACGCGCGAGCTGAAGCTTTGTGCGCTGGAGCAGGCCCAGGCAGCTCAGCATATGTTCAGATGTCTACTATGCAGTGTTACACATGCAAAACCAGAACCTGCTGCTTCCATAACCAGAACATAAAGGACCTAAGCCCTCGCGGCGCACCGTGAGTCCGACTCCTCAATGAGACGACGAATGGGTGGCATGTATCGATATTCCATGCCTGTCCTTGGTCTCACATCGGGGCTACCAACCGAACTCGACGGTGCGAGGCTGCCCTTAAGCACCACAAGGTGCGAACCTATACTGACATGCATTTCATCCTACTAGTACGACAGGCAGAAGTCGCGTGACGACTGAGAAGTCTGGACGTGACTCATGCTGTACTGGAATGACCCTTTCTGCCAGGTCACATGAAGACAGGTGCCTTGTCGGATCCAGTGCGCACCACTCGCTCTGTGAGGAGACGTTCCACCTGGCAGGCTGCCACGAGCTGCCCCAGCGACTTCCCTATGCATATGTACACATATGTATATACAGATAGAGCATATACACATGTATATGTATATATATATACATATATATATTATATTTTATGTGTGTATGGTCACCCCCCCCCCCCCCCCACACCCAAAGGTCTACACCCTCCTTGTCTACACTACTATCTACCTATGAAGTCTATCTATCTATCTATCTATCTCTTGGGCGTGTGTGCACCATACTTATTTATATGTGTGCGTGTGTATTTAGCAAGGGAGCGACGGAAAGAGGGAGGGAGACAGAGAGAGACAGAGAGAGAGAGAGAGAGAGAGGCAGAGAACAAAAAACGAGACAGAAACAGAGACAGAGAGCGAGAGAGAGAAAGAGATACAGAGAGAGAGAGAGACAGAAAGAGAGACAGAGAGACAGAAAGAGAGACAGAGAGCGAGAGAGAGACGGAAAGAGACAGAGAGAAAGAGAGACTGAGAGAGGAGAGAGAGGGAGCGAACAAAGACAAAAAAAAATAGCAAATAGAGAGAGAGAGAGAGAGAGAGAGAAAGAGAGAGGGAGCAAAGGAGGAAGGGAGGGAGGCAGAAAGAGGAAGAGAGAGCGAGAGAGAAGACTCACGCAAATCGGGCCTGTCAAGTCTCTGCCACTAGAAAGTGCTGCTTCTGTTTACTTGTGGACCGGCCGCTGAGCAACCGGGCCTCTTCGCAGTCTTCCACCGTCGTGCATAACCTGTGTTTGAGAACACGCGACGTGGTAGTCAAAGAAGGGCAAGGAAACCTGCACCCACGTGAAAGTGCCTTGCTTTGCCAAGGTGCGGCTTCTCACAAAGGATGTGCTTCCCTGACATGATCGCCTGCACTCTCAGAAGCTCTCAGAGTCTGAGTCTCAAGGCAATGCCCGGCAAAGTTTGGCGTGCCTTTCGAAGTGTGTGAATGTGCTGGAAGTTGGGTGTGCAGATGATGAGGACATCCACAAAGTCGCAATTGATGAGCTCCTGCTTGGAGCAATGCTACTCTGTCGAGACTGCTTCTGAGCGAAGAGCGGAACATCTGCATGAAACATCATGAAACTGCTGGTGGCTACCCGACATACGTATAGCAGCACGGAACCTGAATTCAGAAACCTAAGCACAAACCTTCCGGATATTGCAACCGTTGCCAGGCGACCCTTTGGCTCTTTATTTCTTTAAGTTGGGCTTCAGAGCATGGTAGAGATGGGGAGCTGCACAGTTTGCCGCACATGCTTTCAGACTACCGGTGCGAACCTCGTGCCCTTAACGGCAAAACCCTCATGAACAGTGGCGACTCCTCATCCGAGTGGAAGACGGCAACCCGCGGAGCCCGATCACCTCCAAAGAATCAGCCCCCAAAGGCCATTAGGACCCAAGACCCGAACCACTGAGATCCGGATGTCCCTAGAAACCCAAGCCCCCTAGATGCACAAAATGTGTTGAAAAAATGCAGCACTTAGATCCTTGCTTGGTGTTCTGAGGCCAGGCACGACCCAACTCCTCGAGAGCCTCGTGCAGTGCGGCCTGGAAGAAGTTCTGGGAGGACTGGTGATTCGTTTCCTGGGTCTTGAGCGACGCTTCGGTTCACGATGCCAGCTGCCTCGCTGGTGTCGGCGACTGCCGTCACGACCATCTGCCCATCCATCAACGCCTTAGTCGACTGTACACTGCGTGGCAGGAGAGTAGATGCCTCCCCATAGATGCCTCAAGCCGTCACTCTTCCAGCCGACAAGCTGGGGGCTCGGCCACATTGCGAATGTGCTCTTTTCCCATGGCCCCAGTGCCGATGATGCCTGCACAGACTGCTCTCGATTGAGGCTTCAAAAAAAGGCAGATACAGCATAATCAAACTGCATCCCAAAGTCCACATAGGGGTGAAATTCCCGAGCCTGCGCGCAGAGCCTGGCCCCGCAGCGGCGGCCCCCTCAGCGCCGCGAGCACGCGGCGTGGGGGCTCGAAACTTTGCCGGGAGTGGAGGACCTCTGGAGAAGGGCTTGTGGGAGAGATGGAAGCTTTTGGGTTTGGTGGCTTGTTGGGGTTTGGGGTTTAGGATTTGGGCCTGTAGGGGTGAATTTGGGAAGCCGAGAGGGCTGGTGGCTGCTATTGGGAATGCTTTGGGTTAAGTTCGACTCAGGAAAGCCCTAAGGCCCTAAGCAACTGAGGTCCATGTCGGAGGAGGCTTCGACCTGGCTTCGGGTCTGCTGGCTTCGAAGCAGGGGACAGATCAGCCTTACAATGCCCGACGAACCCCTACAGTCGTGAGCAATGAGCATCACTCAGACGTGTTCCGTCACGAACCCACCCACCCCCACGGAAAATGCTACAGTACAGCCAGGGCAGGGATCTCAAGTTCACTGCTGGCCAAGATGCACTGCCATTGTCAACAATGAGAATATCCTTGGCTTCTCAGGCAACCAAAAGTTGCGCGACAACAGGCGCAAGCACGGCTGCGGAGTTGATTTCGTCAAACGTTCGTGGTGTTGACGTGTGCATGGTTAGTTCTCTCAACTGGGATTTTGGCCTGGGTATCCTGAATATATGGAGTCGTACTAGGGCATACGAAAAGGACCCCAATTTCTCACCATACGTTCTGGGTTAGAAGGAAGCTACGTATATATGCTCAACAGGAAGTCCTTGGTGTAATGCTTTCAAAAGGAAGCACGGTTCTTTACTGCAACACATCATCGGAAACCATGGTTTCAGTGCAGAATCCCTTTCTCTTCTCAACAGGAACAATAAGGAACCTTGTCCATGCTGTCTCACAGAGAATCGATGCTCATGTTCTTAGCAGTTCCGACGACCGATCGAGTTTGCTTACCGCCCTTCATGGTGTCCGACTCGTTCGAAACCCAAGGGTGGCTTCTTTTCCTTACCTGCTGCCCTCATCTTCGGTAACCCGGCTTAGGAGTTGGGACTCTAGGAACTCCAAGAAGGCCTTTAAAGGGGGCCGAACCCAAAAAGTTTTGCCTTTGTGTTTCTGGCCCTCGCGGTCGAGGCTTCAGAAGGGTGCGATGAAGCACGGGTTTCACTCGTTGGGCTACTTGTCAAAAACATGAGAGCTCCTGCTTGCACCCAGCATGATCATGGCCAATTCAGGCAAGCCTCGCCCTTCTTCCAAGCGAAGGCCACCTCTCTTTCGGCCATGAAGCGCGCAGTGGCTCGTAGCGCATCCTTGTTGACAGGGCTGAAGTCGCCCAGAACAACGGCTTCCTCGCCCACATTCCTGCCCAAGTCGACACACGTCTGCCACCAGAAGGAGGAGGTCCCCCGTACTGTTCAGCACACAGCTCAGAAGTGGACAGCCCAGCTGCGCAGTTCATATGCGACCCACCTTGAGTCGTTCCAGCCTGTGAAAGCTGCGATCACTGAGTTGAAGAAGACCTGAGCTATGCGACAGCTGCCTTCAGGAACTGCGGTTTAGGGTTTAAGGTCCCGGGGGTTGAGTTCAGGGTTTGGGGTTTAGGTTTTAGGGTGTAGGGTCAGCACAGGCACCATGCTGCATTTCAAAATATGCCTGGGAAGAAGACTCGCCGCCCGGTGCGCTCGTCCATGCCTGAGAGGAAGCACAACCATGGCGACCTATAACTCGATCTAGGAATCGACGATATGCGGGGAGGTCTTTCGACATTCTCAGAGGACACTCTCTAAACCCTAAACCCTAAACCCTAAACCCTAAACCCTAAACCCTAAACCCTAAACCCTAAACCCTAAACCCTAAACCCTAAACCCTAAACCCTACCCCTAAACCCCTATGACTCACGTCGAGAAGCGGAGGGCCGGCAGGGCTGCGGTGGTGGTTTTCAGGTCGCCGCCCGGGAGCCATTCCCACGAGGTGCCTGGAGGACATGCTTGGATCGTAGAAATTCTAAGCAGCCCTAAACCCTAAACCCTAAACCCTAAACCCTAAACCCTAAACCCTGAACCCTAAACCCTAAACCCTAAACCCTAAACCCTAAACCCTAAACCCTAAACCCTAAACCCTAAACCCTAAACCCTAAACCCTAAACCCTAAACCCTAACCCTAAACCCTAAACCCTAAACCCTAAACCCTAAACCCTAAACCCTAAACCCTAAACCCTAACCCTAAACCCATACAGAATTTCGAAAGGGTGTCAGAACTTGGCAAGTTCTGCCTTGCTTCCTCATCACCTCCTCAGCTTCTTCTCGCGTTGTGACTGCGTAGGACTCCGCCCAGGAGCGCCCCTGCGCACAGCAACAGACTCCCAGAAGCCAAGTTATTCTAAGACCTGAACCAAAACCCCTGTAAGCCCAAAAACCAAAAAGCTCTCGTGCCCTAAGCCTTTTTCAAGCCCGCACCATCTGAAACTCTCAAGCACCCAAAGAGAGGTGAAGATTGAGTCACATCGCCGGGAGAACTCCGGAACGTTTAGACGCTCACTCCAATGTTGAACCCTCAAAGGCCCGAAAGCAAGGCCTGGGCTGATGTCGGGTCCGTCACTTCGGGCATCGTGCGGATGTATCGCACACCTTTGGCCTCTACCTGGCAGGTGGCAAGGTTTGCAAGTGTTGGGCGCTTAGGGTTCCTTGTTGAGGGTTGGAACTTCGGGACTGTACAAGGGTTAAGTCGTCACCTCGCCTCGCGCGCAAAATCCGGGAAGTGGCTCACAAAGAAGTCGGCCACTTCATCCTCGGGGCCAACACATGTCATCATGTGCCAGAAATGCTGCCGCTTGGCCTTTGGCCGTGCTCAGCATGACCCAGTGCTGACAGAGCGGCCGATGGGATGATGGGCGTCGCGCCTCCATGTTTGGACTCGACTTCGCAACAAAAGAGTATGTAGTTGGGTGGTGTCGGGGACTGCCTTGGCTGTCATGTCTCTTGACCCGAAAAAGCAGAATCCGCAAGATGCAGAAAATGCATGCAGTGCTGGCACGCCACGCCAGCTCGTGGTGGAAAGGGATTGGCTGATCCGGCGGGGACTCGTTGGACGTGAAGACTATGCCTGTCGATGCATGGCGACGAGTCAGCAGCAACGAGGGCGCAGATGTGGGCGCTCGCCCCCACCCCCCCCCCCCGCCTTTCACCACCTCCGTGCGGGGCGCTGCGCCACCGACATAGTCGTAGCCCTCACAGCCCATTGCCCGCACCACCAAACCAAAATCCTCCGCGCTGCTGATGCCACCTTCGGGTTCGCCAACAGCCCTTGATGGCCCTCGTGATGACCCTCGTGTGGAATAACCCTCATACTGAGTTTCATACTGAGTGTCACACTGTTGCGTCTTCCACTGTATTCCAGGTATCCCTACAACTCTGAGGTCGCGGCAGTCCCGGAAAAGCACTGCACCATGTTGCAGCAAACTCGGTGTCAGTTGACAGCCAACAGCAGACCGCACAGAGATTTATAGGTCTCTCATAAGCCCTTGCATTGCAAGTACAACCCTACACCTCGGGAACATCCCCCGAAAACGAACAGTCCTTAAAAGGGATTATAGTACCCCCTATTCTGATCCCCATTAAGGACTGTGAGTATAAGGGGGAACATCCCTACACCCCAAGCCGAGGCAACCGCGTGCACGGCCAATCCCTGAACGAGCACAAAAAGCCTCGAAGCACACCGCAGCACAAGATCAGCTTCCCGAAGCCTCGAGAGAACTGCGACTCCCCAGAAAAGCCCAAAACAAACCTCCTGAACCCTCGCTAGAAGCCCTGGCGGGCCGTAATACAACCCCAAACCCTGGTGGGCCCGGCCCCTCAACTTGGGATGTTCCCCCTTGTTTCTAACAGTCCTTCGTAGGGATTATAGTACCCCCGATTATCATGCCAACCCTAAACAATAAAACCCCCCAGGGCTCGAACAGCTCCTGGAGCTGCGCGGAGTGTGCAGCCGTCCAGGTGCAGAGCTCTCGGCCGCTACACGCGCGGCTGGGCCTCCAGGGATGGTGGGGTCCAGGGGGATCAGGGGCTTGTTGGGGTTGATTGTTGCTGACGAGGGTTTGTTGGGGTTTCATGGGGGGTTTAGGGTTTCTTCTTGGATGTTAGTTGGGGGTATTCGAGGGCTTAGAGGGCTCTAGAGCTGTTTGTGGGATGTCTTTTTGTTCTATGCACCCCACACCCCCCTCTTCCTATGATGAACCGCGGAACCCCTCCACTTCCCCTGCACAAGCGACCCCTGGCGGCGGCGAGTGGCGCAGCACCAAAAATCGACTTCAACTGGTTTAGGGTTTAGGGTTTAGGGTTTAGGGTTTAGGGTTTAGGGTTTAGGGTTTAGGGTTTAGGGTTTAGGGTTTAGGGAAGTTGAGGCTACACATCCCTTACATCTACATCATGCTGGTCGTGGCCTACTGCCTGGTTACTTCCCAAGACTCCGAGGCTTGACAGCCAAGCTACGCCCAGGTCCCCTTACCCCATCGCGATCGAGAACCCAGGATCCCATAAATCCTGAGCCCCCCCGGAACGCGAGCATGGAACACGGAAACTCTCCCGATGCAACTGACGCAGCTGGGCGGCGAAAGCACCAGGGGGAAGTCCTGGCTTGGGAGGTGAAGGGGTTGAAGGGCTTGCTTGAGGGGGTGCTGAAGTCAAGTCCGGCTTGAGACCCAACTTGCCACACTAAGCCCAACTCTAAACCCGACCTAAGCCTCTTATGTTCAGAACTAAGAAGAGAAGACACTTACTGGGGCCTGTCCGCCGATGCCCCTCGGGCGCTGCTCTGGAAGGCTGCCGGGAAGAAGCTCCTTGGGCTGGCAAACCCTGAAGCTCAAAATGCTCAAAATGCCCGTAAGTGCCCTTAGGTGCCGGATTCTAGGGTTTATACGGTTCAGGGAAAGTTCAGCCTCACATCCAGCAAAACGCCCAAAGTCGACCAACCGCAGATTCGGAGACTGAAAACGCGCGGATCGGAAAACGGAAAAACGTGTTTTGGGAAACCAAAAAAGCGTGTATTTGGGAAACCAAAACCGCGCAATCAGGAAACTGGAAGCCGCGGATTCGGGAAACTGGGAAACCGTGGTTTCGGGAAGGAAACTGGAAAACGCGGATTAAAGGAAAGCCGGGCATTCGGAAAACTGGAAACCGCGGAATCGGGGAAGGATGCTTGAATGGGACGTGCTGGCGACATGTCCAATTTCCGAGCCGCCGTCATATCCCAAAACTCTGTCGGAGAAGGATAGCAACGGGTGTTCGAGTTGCAGTTGTGAGATGCAGGCTGTCGTCGGAGGCCTTTGGGATTCGATTCTTTGGGATTGGAGCAGAACGGCCCAAACGCATAAACCTAAATTCATCCTCAGTGTGAGCGCGGTAGTCGAGGGTGCGAGTATTTGCGTGCTACTACTATTAGGGACATGCTGATGTTGATACTGCGTGGCACGGATTACCACGGCCCTGTAAGTACAGTGCCCTAAACCCTATAATATCCTATAAACCTAAACATACCTGGGCGAATCAAGGCCAAGACTCCATCGGGAGGTCAAAAGCTTTGAAGCGCGGCTTGGAAAAGAAACTCTTCACGGTGAAGGCTTTGGAACTCAGAGGGCAAAGTGGTCTACGAGTCTACGCCTCGGTGCAGATCAGCCTGAAGAGAGCGCAACCCAACACAGCAGCCGTCGCCTGTTTCTGTGTTAGATCCGGGCATCAGGCGGACAGGCCGCGTCTAAGGTGTCTAATCAGTTTCTAAGGTCTTGGACAAGGAATTCGATACAAATCCAAGAGCTTTGGGGCTCTCTGGCTCACAGCCGTGTTTGCTTGAGGAAGTCAGCCACATCTGACTATCTGACTGCGCCAGTATTGGCGATCGGGCCATCGACTTGTGCACAAAGCTACTGTAAATCATCAAGCAATCGCACCCCTGCTCGACTTCTTGGTTCAAGCGTAACACCTAAGAGATCCTAAGAGCCCAGTTGGTTTGTTTACCACTGAGCTCGTCGTGACCTCTCGTCTAGATGAAGCTTGGACATATGAATGCGGCCAGCCGAAGCCATCCTGAAAAGTCCTTACAGGAGAGAAGCTTGCCAAGGCTGCTCAGTGAATCCATGAAAGTGGAAGTGGCTAAGCTTTAAGGACAAGTGAGCTGTCAGCTGTGGACTTCCGTTCATTGTGCTTGGGCAATTTCTCATGCGGGGATCTGTGTTCAGGAACATCCGGAAAACATAGGCTTCTCCACCATATTCTGTACGACGGCGTGGCAGGCTGCAAGCTTGCCACGGGTACATTCAAGCACCTAGTCTGCACGGCCACACCATGCAGACATTGGGGCTGCAAAGTCCCCGGTGCCTTCTGGCATGCGGCTCTCAGGCTCCGATTGCTTGAACCATCTCACTCGCCTCCGCGTCGTGGCGTAGCTGGATCTGCTCCTGTGAAGGGTGGGACTGCTGCTGAGCTAACTTGCAGGGGCTTTCGGCTTTCGCAGCCTCCATGACCTCAATGTCTCCGGTGCTCATCTTGCAAGGCCTTCGCTTGGAAGGTGCAACAGCAGCATGAGGTCGAGTGTGCCATGTGCTATCAAGCAGTTAAGTCGAGCTTCGGCTCTGCATGCGTGCCAACTTGATCGATCTCCATGGCATCCTGCCATGCACAGAACGCTCTCACCGCCCAAAACCGCCCAAAACCGCGTGCAGCAGAACAGAACCTGTCTCCCTTCATGTCTTGGCTACATCTTCTTACTAATCTTACTACATCCTTCTTGGAGTCAATCACGGGAATTGGCGCATCCAACTTCCAGCCTCGGCCAGGCTCAAGCCAATGAGAACGGGGCCATGTGGGGATCAAAGAGGGTCCAAGTTGGGGGATATCCGGTCTCGCCGATATCGTTTCCAAGAAGTGGACTAAGACTTCCAAGTGCTGCGGTTGAGTCATATTGAAGAAATTGGAACTATTGAACCATGTTAAGTCCGGCCATGTTTCAGCGGTCCTTGGGCACCGAATGAGAAGCCAAGAACTCGGGCATACCCCAGTCCACAAATGGATACACCCTGTTCCACAGGCAGTGCTTGTCACCTCCCCAATCATCGTAGTAAGCCCAGTCTGTCAAAGGGCCTTTGGCCTCCCAAAGCTCCCAATTGCCCGCGCCATTCGGCCGCTCCCAGCTGCGGATCTTCACATCCACGGATCTGCCCACGTCCATGCCCTTAAGCGTTACTTCCCGGGTGGTCTCCGGCAGACCCCAGCACAGCCACTCCAAGTCATGGATGGGTGTGCCACCATAGCGATCGGCATCGATCTGGTAGCACCGCACAGGGATCTGCTCCAGGCGCTTGGCCACTGCTGGGTCGAGGCGGCCCTGGTACCAAGACTTAAAGGGCCACTCGCATTTACCAGAAACCGGGACGATGCCCGCCAGGTATTCGCCATAACGCAAAGCGAGATGCCAGACCCCTATTGCCCCCAAAGACAAGCCGGTGGCGTACAGCCGCGTGGGGTCCACGTTTTCTGGCCCGAGCCGACGTAACATCTCCGTCACAAGTGCCCAAACAGCATCTTCGCACCAGGCATTTCTCCAGTTGTGGTTGTAGCGCAGGACACCAGTTTTCCACAAGGGCTTTGGGGCGAGAAGCACATAGTGCTGGAGCTCATTGTTCCGGATCAGCTGATCAACGCCCCCCGACAGAAAGTCCTGACGGTCGTCCACGTGGCCGTTGCCTGTCTCTGCAAAGCAGTTGCCCGTTCAACCCTTGCAAGATCAAGACCTGCTCACACACACACACACACACACACACACACACAACAAAAGCACACACGCACAACACACCTGCTTAAGGGATGAAGGCAAGGAGAAGGGCCGGTTATAAATTCCTGGCGCAGGACCCTCTATCGCTGGTTTCGACACTTGCCTGTCAGGAACAGGAGCACCGGAGCTGGGCCTTTCTTGGGAGCCCGTGGCGGCACCACAAGGCAGACGGCCTCCTCCTGAGCGAAAAGGAACGCAAGGAGCTTCAGCAGCTTGAAAACGCTTTGGCTTGATTTTGGCGTGCCACTCGAAGCCAAAGCACTACAAACGTAAGCCCCAACGGAGACCGGGGATTTTCAGGAACGAGCTAGCCTGTGCTCCATCCAACGTGACATGAAGCAGGGTATGTATTTCTTGTACCCCCAAAAGGACACCTAAGGTATACACTCACCAATCTGAAAAAGGGACCTTATGCACACTCACCAAAAACAGTAATATAAACCCTGCTTCACATGTGGATTGGACGTCACTATGCAGCTGACGCAGCTTGCCCACCCGAGCACATCCCGAGCACATCCCGAGCACATCCCGAGCCTCCGCGCCGAGGTCACAGCGGAAATGCTCCCAGCGGCTCTGCTGCAACACCTGTCCCAGTAATTTCCCCGCTCGGGCGGATTTCGATCTAAACTCGTATAAACCAAGCAACCAAGCTTCGGGGGGTCTACAGCGGTCTACACGGGTCTACAGAGTCGACAAACAGGCCGAGAGTATCATTTAAGTCGCCTCCCGGCTCAGCCGGGGGCAGTGGGCTTCATGGCTGTCGCTCTGCGCGGTACATTGGTCGCAGCACGTAGACTTCCCACGCTCTGCTCGGTACTCGCAGTGGTCGCAGAGCTTGCACTCCACAACGTCCGAGTCCCAAGCCGAGGTCATGGCTTCTGTCACTTCTTGAGCCAGGCGAGAGGCAGGACGGAGAACTGGGAACTGGGCGCTCAGCATGCAACTAGCATTCAGGCACCACCATGATCATGGTTTCTGGTCCCTCTGCACCATGTGAACCGAACGCACCGGCCGGTGAAGCACAAATGGTAAACCTCAAACCGAACGTTGCGGCGCGGGGTGAGACCTCATCTCTCTCTCTTCTGCCCGTCACAGCCCCGCCACTACCCGGCTCTCACGGACTTGGTCGACGAGGCGCGCCATTCCTGCATGCTGTAGCAAGCGGCAGGCAAGTCAGAAGCTCTGGTGCGAGAGGAGCGTTTGTTCAAGAGTAGGGATTATCCACCATTGTGGGTCAAAAGCCTCAGCGGCCACCCAGTCCACGCTGCCATCCAGATTCTTTGGCAGCCAAAGCAGGAACCTCCAAGCAACTCGCCGGCTTCGGGAGAGGTTTTGAATGTTTTGAAGAGTTGTTGGTTTTAGGAAGAAGCTGTTCTGCCTCTGCAGTGTGTCCGGGTCAGGCGACTCGGGTAATGCGGTGACGACCTCAATTTAAATTTCCTTCTCAGCACAGCAATCTACGACGGGTGTAGAAAGGACAGAACACGGCTTGAAATTGGGATCCTGCATCGACCGGGTGTTGTCCCACGAGTGCTGCCAGCCCGTCCGCAGACTCGCCTCAGCGCCAAGTCGCTCAGAGCAGCGCGCGCACGCTTGGATGCTGAACACTTAGGCCAGGCACCAGCAAGGGCTGTTGCTAGCAACACCGCGTCTGCTTCCCCGGTCGACAATGCATGCTCAATGGCCTCCACAACAACCACAAATAATCAGTATCACTACAGCGGAGCCTGTGCATCTCTTCAAAAGCACCCTTATCTGTGCTGGTTTCCTGTTGTTGCAAGGGATAAGGGGTTCCGGGCAACCCCACGCAACGAAAAGCGTAAAACGGGAAAAACGAAATTTCGATTTTACGCTTTTCCGCTTTTACGCTGGACGCGTGGGTCCGAAATTGGGACGGAGGAGGCACGCACGGTAAAACGGGAAAAACGAAATTTCGAAACTTACGCTTTGACGCTTTTACGCGCCGAGCACGCACGGGAACCCACTATTGAAACCAACGCCGGCAAGCCAGCTTAGCTTCTATTTGCAGTGAGTCCATGGAGTGGCGAACGCAAAGCGGACCTCTCCGAAGGCGGCCAGTGACACGGTTGACCTCAAAGTGACGTCTGCTCAGGGTTCCCTGTTTAGGTTGTTTTTTGGGGTGTTTTTGGCTTCCCAAAAGTGTGCTCTGAGCCGGATGACCGATCACTCAGGAGGCAAGCCACAATCGAGTCAACCTGCCCAGCGACAAGATGGGAAGAAAAGGGACCACGACATCGCTCTCCGAATGTTGCCGAATGTTGCAGGGTTCCCCATAACCATCATGCTGGGGTGCTGTGGATGCTCGGGCTCTGCAGCAGTGACCACTAGCCGGTAGGAGGACCCACAAACGACCTGTCATGCAGCATTTCCTAGCGACTTAAACCCGCTCGAAATCGCATACACCTTGACACTGGGGCCCCTCTAGTCATCTTCTTCGCGCAAGCGTAGATTCTCTTTTCGGCCGTCAGACGCTGACACCGTTGGCACAGGATGGCGCACGCGGGCTTTCCAGCCCCTCACGACCCTCACTGCCCTCACGCGAAGGACTGTTCCTGTTCACACTGATCTGGCTCGGCTCCCGGGACCTGCAAAGGACTTGAGCATGGCCTTGAAGATTCACACCCCACGGAAATCTTCAACATCCAGTAAGCTGGCGGCCTGGGCTTTCCGAAATCTCCTTGGAAGACATTGAAGACTCTACCGTTGTCATAGCAACCGGCGGTGCTTGCCTTGACAGCCTGCGCAGCTCCTTGTGTCTACTGAGAATCTGCTGCATCTCCTGAACCTGGCCCTTGTCGGGTGTCATGTATCTCGTGTCGAAGTCAGGATCGAGGCTCGTGTGGTGGGACAGCCGCAAGTCCCAGCCACCCAGCTTCCTGCAAGCTTAGAGAAAGTTACAAACGAGAGGAAAGGTACAGGAATGGATAGAATAGTGATAGAATGTCATGCGGGCCTGTACCACCTCACTCGGGCATCGAACTCCACGAGCTGCCCCAGCTTCGGTGCCAGCTGCGCCAGTTGCTTCCCCACCTTGCAAGGAGCTTCTGTGGCCTTAATTGAGACTTAAGACTCTGCCTGGCTTCTGCGGAGACGTGGGCTCTTCTTTTGTTTGCGTGCGGCTGCGGTATGTCTGAACCACAGCCAAAGTAGCTGTTCAACCGCAAAGCTCTCACTTCAGCTTCAAGTGACAGGCCAGCAATTTGCCGTACGTCGTGCACCCTGTGTGCACATATGTGCACCTTGAGATATTCTATGGACATGTTTGGCCCACATGGACACAGCCATCTCGAGCTGCGCCGGTCCGCCTGCTTCGGGCGAAAAGCAACTCGGAGCTTGGGGAACAGGCTCGACTGAAGTGCCGGGATGAAGAAGCAGAACCCACTCTCAGCCCTTTCAGTGCCGGGTCTTCAACGCATGTTACAGAAATTCTACAGAACATCATGAACATCGCCCAGCTGGCGTCGAGGCCTGCGCGTGCAAGAAAAACTCGGCACGGAACTGACCACAGAGACCAATCCGATCGTCTCTGTGTCAAAAAGTTAGGCTATCGGCGAGTTTGTGCAGGAACTTTTGCCAACAGTTCTCGGACTGCCAGGCCTTTGCTAGGAAGACTGTGTGGATGCGGCTTTCTGGTGACTCATTTGTAAGATCCTGCACTGCAATGACTCCGCCTGACTTTAGGCAGCGCTTTGGGGGAACATTCGTGTCTGCACCACCGCTACGCCGATGCTACACATCGGTGTCAGGGGTGTGCTGTCGTCGGTTCTGCGTTATCGCCCCAAGCAATCGCACAAGCGTGTCACTGCCGATCCCGAGCCTAGGACAAGCCAGGCAAATACTGAGTTGATGCTGGACGCTGAGAAACTTTGAGGAAACTTCTGAAAGGTCCAGTAGTACCTTCCAAGAGGCTGCTTCACAATGTTCTCCTTGTTCACCAGGTCGGCGCCAAGGATATCATCTAAGCTAACCACCTGCAAACTGCTCCCAGTTGGAGCTGAGTACAACATAAGAGCACCTGGGACGAGACATGAGATGCACCGGGCCTCATCCTCATTGAATTTGAAGAACTCCAAGTAGAATCTAGTGTATCTCGCCTTGAGGTGCGGCAGAATCTTGATCACAGGAGGAGAGTGCACCATGAAGTGTCTTCGCGGTGACCACAAACTTGAAAACTCCTTGTGTAACGACCTATCTACGCAGATCTATACGTCATGGCAAGCCACAATGGAAAAAAGGGTCCAAGCGATCGCGCCAGTGCATATGCAGGCCGGGATGGGATCCATCCTCCACGAGCGTTCTCACTGTTATCGCGGTAGTTTTCAAGCTGGCCAGCAAAGCAGACGACTCCAAAAATTGCCGCATGATTCTGCATGACCCCACTAAGCCACGGTCTTGATCCAGGCAATCACAGCCACGCTGCAGCAGCAAGCCACGATCCCGGTGCCAAAGGACCTCAACGACGCAGAATGTCACAAGAGCATGCCACCTCGCAAAAAGCCTTCGCAGGATTTTGGTGCCTGAAGACGATGGCCCTCTGGTTGTACATGCCTGTGGAGAAAGCAACGCAAAGCAATGCGCAGCAAGAGCAAAAATCAAGAGGAAGGCCATATTCGGCCACATGGACCCCATCTCGGATCGGCCTTCCACCGCACGCACCATGGAGCCATCGGGCCCTCGCAAGGCCAGGCCAGTGCCCATCACGGTGATGCAGGTCGTCATCGCGACCTTCAGTGTGTCGGGAGGATGTTTTGCTTAACCTCCCTGGCATGCTGAACCTGAGAACTGACTCAGGAGAAGCCTGAGACCTGCATCCTTGTCTGATCTAATAATCGACCAGGATCTCAGCAACACTTGGCACCCCTTGAAAGACGCACAACGTCTCACTGAAAATCCATAGACTCCCTCAGAACTCGATTGCAAGATCTCGTCCGCGGTATGGAAACCCTCCTCTAAAATTGCCACTGCAGGGTGCTCCTGGGAGCCCTAGGGTTGCTTTTTCCGTTCACTCGGATTCTAAGGTTCAGGCACATCTCAGATTGGCGACCAACCTCGGCTCGAAATGCACAGAAATTTCGAGAAGATATACTCACACCAACTGTACTCTCAAAAGTTGGCGTGCACCCGCCATGCCTTGTTTGGGGCACACAACCCCTCTGGAAGTCCAAGCAGCGTAATGACTGCAAAAACGTAGTAGACCCCTTGCAGGGCAAAGTGCGCCGTCTCCGGCATGTGGAACTCGACTACCATTACAACCTTGGTTTGCTGCTGCTGACCTCTTACCCCCGCTGCAGTTGACACGCAACGGCCCGCAGCCCACTTGTGCAATTGATTGCAATTGTCCAGCAAGTTTGCGAGTGACGGCGAAGCCAGCCAGCACAGCTGCCTGTGTGCCAACAGCGTCGAAGTTGCCCTGCACAAAGCACGTATAGACACCCAAACGAGCTCTTGAGTTACGGAGAGCCTTGTGTAGAGCCAGCTCTTTTCCTTTGAGCTCCGTCGCATTCTTGCGGATGGTGCTCGTCAGGAGTAACTTGTCCGCAGCAAGCATGGCGGCCTCAGGAGAAAGGAGCCACAGGCAGGTACATGTTTTAGGGTGACAGGGCGACAATGAGCGACAGAACACCCAGAGCAACTTAGCGCACTGAGGCCAAGGCTACGCGAGCACGCACAACAGTGCCCAAGCCCCTTGAACTTGAGCTCCAAAAATTTCCCAGGACGTGAAGCTTGATAAGCTTTTCGCGGAAGTGCATATCATGCCATGCAGATGCATATTAGGGCATCTCAAGCTCTTAAGGGTTGAACATACATCTTGCTTCGAGGTTGCGCACTCACTGTTTACATGCTAGCTGCGCCTAGCATGTTAAGACTTAAGATCTGCTCGAAGGACAGCACTCCCTCTGCCAACCTTCAGCCAGACATGGTCTGTGTGAATCTTGCCGGGGAGATCGGCAGAAGTAGCCACGACATTTCGCAGCAGCAGTGTATCCTTCTGCCACGCCTGCAGCAGCTTACTTCGTGAAAAGATGTGCTTTACAAAGCCATCCAAATCAACACAGGACAAACAGACCTACGGGATGGTCGACTCGCCTTGCGGCCGCGAGTCCGGCCGCGCCGAGCCACCGTGGCGCGGAAGCGAAGCCGCTGCATGGTGGCCCCCAGCAGGCCTTGCCGAAGATGCTGGTGGGCTGGGCCCGGAGGGCTTGGTCCCGGCGGTTGCGGCCTGAGTTGTGTTTGCCTGGTTTTGGCTTTAGCCGCAGATTTCTTCGGAGACACGGGAAGCTCTCCCGTCAGGTCAATGGGGAAGGTGTCTGGTCTGCCAGTACGAAGCGGCAACCTCCATGCGTTCCAGCTTCCTGACAAGGCAGCTGAAGGCAAGTCCCGCTCGTCTTCTTCCACATCAATCACGACAGTCGCATCAACCCAATTCGCCATGGTAGGCAACTGTCGGGCGGCGGCATAATATGATTCCAGAAGGTCAAAGAGTTGGCGCCAGATTTCGATGAATCGAACAAGTGACTGATGACTGATGATTCACGCGTACTCCTACGTCGTGTCGGCTACATAGACTTGGTTGCCTCTTGTCTGAGTCTGGGGAGCAGCGGCTTTGTACCAGTACGCCGCCGTCACTTCATTTTTCGTTTTGCTGCTTTTTCCTGGACTGAGATCTGGGGTGCAAAGCTGCGGAATCCAACGACAATCGACTACAGACCTACTGATCGCACAGAAATGCTGGCCAGGTGCGAACAAAAACCGAAATAATGCGAATCACAGGCTCACTGCCTCCCGCAAGCTGAGCCCAACAGACAGCGACTGAAGGAAGGTGGCAAACTGTTCCGGGCCTGAGTATCACATGGCACTGCAGCCAAGGTCGGGCAACTGCAAGCCCTTTTGCTGAGCATAAAGAGCACTTCCTTCAATCGAGGTTCAAAAGCACTTCGCACAGATCGAAGCTGAGTGCCTCGCTGAGTTCACCGAGACCGGTGGTGTCGTGCCGGGCGAAGGCCTAGCTTACACATGGCAAAGGCGTGTCTGCGAACATCTTGTTCTCTGTCCAACTTCAACTTCATCTTCGTCACAGTGGGACATGCTGGTAGTGAGAGCTTGAAGTGCCATTTTGTTGGATCTCAGTGGCCCGTTATTCTTGCAGTGCCCTTTCTGATACGCACCTTTTTCTACTGGCGTGCCAGCTTTTTGGCCCATGAAGGTTCGCCGCCCTGGCATCCGAAGCTCAGCCGAAGCTCAGCCGAAGCTCTGCCGAATGCAGTCAAGGATGGTCACCTCCGCCTGGACCATCAAGGAGACGGCATGTGCTAGGAGGCCCCTCTCGCTGTGCTCGCTGGCAGCAACTGCTGCAGCGAAGGTTTGCACCGTAGCCTCGATAGACTGGTCTCTTAGCTCTTTAAAGAGGTACAAGGCACTCTGCCACTGACCAGCGAGCTGACAGGCAGACAGGGCCGCGTTGTAGACGACTACATCGACTCCATCGACTCCATCGACTACATCGGCATCGTCACTCTTCATGGCTCCCTGGTGTTGGGCCAGCAGCGAGAGTGCCCATTCCCACTGGCTAGTACTCGCGCAGGCACGGATCGCGGCACTGAGGGCCATTCGGCTCAACCGGGCTCTGCACCATACTGTCAAGCGCAAGGCACATTGCCACTGCCCAACAGTTTCGCATGCGCTGATTGTGGAGCTGTGTGTGATGGCATTGTGCTGCAAGCCAATCATTCTCAGCCCCTGCACTAAACAGAGCGCCTCCTGCCATTGCTGCCCTCTACAGGCTGCTAAAGCCGCATTCTGGTTAATGACATTCTTTTGCAAAGCTCTGCGCTGAATGTTGACAAGTAAGGTCAGTGCAGTTTCCCAGTCACGGCCCTTTGCACATACGCTGATCGCCGACGTGAAAGCAAGCACTGACGCTTGAATCCCTTCATTCTCAAGCTGGGCCAAAAGAGAGAAGACTCGTTGCGGCTGCTTGCCAGCATCACACGCATTCATTGCAGCGCCGTAGCTGAAAACATCGGCAAGTCTTTGCTTCTGCAGTGAGGTCAACTGCCAGAGGGCTAGTTGCCACTGGCTGCCACTAGCCCAGGCACTCATGGCAGAGTTGTATGACACCAGGCTGCGCTGCAACTTCACGTCGTCGATTTCCTCGAGCAAGCACAGGGCTCGCTGCCATTCCTCCCCTAGGACGCAAGCGCTGAGCGCCGAATTATATGAGATGATATCCCTGTGAACTAGTTCGCGTTCATCCAAACACCGAAGTGCCCATTGCCAACCTTCACAACTCCCGCAAGCACTGATCGCAGCGTTGGATAGAACCGAAGTGTCTGACAAGCCCTCCTTGCGTGTCTCAGTGAGGTAGCTGAGCGCTCTGGCCCAAACGTCACTGGTCCCAGTTCCTCTGATGAGCGAGGCATAGCTGATCTCGTCGGCTTGCAAGGATCCTTCCACCAGGCCTCTCACAACTGAGATTGATTGTCGCCACTGGCCGTCTGCCGTCAGGGAGTTTATCATCACATTGCAGCCTATTTCGTCAGGCAGCACGTCTTGTCGTTGAAACTTCGCCAGTAGCTGAAGCCCGCAGCGCCAACGGTCAAATGCTCGCAGGGCCGCATTGCAGAGCCTGCTCTCAACTTGCAAGGCCATCCTTTGCATCTTTTGCAAGAAGTCCAGGCCGGCAGCCCACCGGCCAGAGTGATTGCATGCATTCATCGCCGAGCTCAGCGCTCCTGCATCCAGCTGCACAAACGTCTGCTGAAGCCGCAAGAAGAGTTTAAGAAGGGCCTCCCAGCGCCTACCAGACTCGCAAGCACTCAGGGTGGCAGTGAAAGACGCCAGGCTTCCTTGGAGACCTTGCTTCAAGGCAAGGTTCAAGAGGTGCAATGCTTGCAGCCACTGGCTTCCTGCAGCGCATGCACTGATGGCAGCATTGTATGAAACGAGGTTGCACTCCAACTCCACTCTGTCAACCTCTTCCAGCAGGCACATGGCACGCTGCCACTCTCCTCCCTCAGCGCAGGCACTCAGTGCAGAGTTGTAGGAGACGACGTCCTTTCGAAGTCGCTGCCGCTCAGTCTCACCAAAGCACTGGAGCGCCCACTGCCAGGATGCCCTGGAGGCGCTGATGACTGACGTGTACAGGATCATATTGCCAGGCAACTCAGCTTCGCCGCATCGTCGCAAGAGGCGCAAGGCGCGAGACCAAGAGAAGGACGTGACGGCAGGAAGATGCGTGATCACATTCACCTGCAGCTGGCCCTTCTCCATCCTTGTCAGGGTAGCGACGGACTGTTGCCAGCGCCCCAGACCAGCAGTGTCACCAGCAGCCCCAGCGTGGATGGCCGCGTTGCAGAGCACCAGGTCAGCCTGGCCACGCCTTTCTGCGAAATCCACTTGAAGAGAAAGTGCTTGGGGCCAGGCATTGGAGGCGCAGGCACGCGTGGCCGATGTGATGGGGACAGGAGAGACACTCGCATGCAAATGCTCAAGAAGGCACAGGGCCCACGACCACATAACCTGACAGGAGCCGATGGCACTGCTGCAAGACACTTCATCCCGCTGTAGGGCTCGATCCTTTGCATCGCCCAGCACAGTCAACGCGCACCTCCACTCTTCACTCTTCTCACACGCATGTATGGCCGCGTTCAAGATGTAAACATTGGCTTCGAGCCTACGCTCCTTCAACTGCCTCAACTTCAACTGATGCCAGAGGATAAGCCCCTGCTGCCATCGGCCCCGTCTCCCCCACTGACTGATGGACGAGCAGTAGCTTGCCGGAGACGCCTTGCGCAACGGATCCCAGCGTATTGCGTCCACTGCCAAGACACTGTCCTGCCACTGCGGAGGTCTCTGTCCCTGTGGGTCTGCTCTCCTTTTGAGGCACGGGGCCGTGCGGGCCATGCTTTGAATCTGGCCATACTGCAAAGTTGGCGATGCTGTCCCATGCGGCGCCCGTCTACGACCTGGCACATGGATGGCACCCTTCTTGCGCTCCGCGCCTTTCAAAGTTCTGGGCCCGAAGCGTGCTACGGCAGATACATGCAAGCATGTGCAACAGTAGCACTAGCACCGTCATACCCCGTGCCCTCTGGGCGCACCTGAACCCAGTTGCCCTTTGCTCGCGGGCGTCGGAGCAAGGTCTGTCGCGCGCGTGCCAAGATGACCTGCAAGCCATCAAGGTAGAGAGAGAGAGAGGGAGAGAGCTGTAATTTCTTTACAGTAGATCATGAGGTGTAAGGCGTGAAGGTACCGTTCTCTTGCAGAGCCTGGACGTCATCGCTGATCTCAATGCTCTGACCTCAAGCCCACCCAGACCCGTGAGCACTCGCCAGCGGTCCAGTCTGCAGGGACCCATTTGACATTCGTTTGACATCCACACATCCCAGCTAGTCAAGAAGATGGCGTTTACACCTGCCGAAGGCAACCGCCTTTGTCACTGGGTGCCTGGCGGGCACCACGTGCTCCGACCTTGGAGCACCGCGTGCCACCACAATGCTCAGGTTCGTTCAGGTATAAACGGTGCCGAAACATCGGTAGGGTCAGGTCTTAAGACCTCCGAATCGAACATTTGCACGAGGAGTGTGCTTCCGTGAGCCTAATGAACTCATGACTCCCTGTGAATCACTACTTCGGCTCAGCCACCGAGGCATTGAGAAGTCCTTGCGTGCGTGGTCGCCAGCTCGAGGCTGTGGAGGCCGTGGGGCCTTCAACATGAGGGGGCTGATTCTCATTAGGGCCCAGAGGGCAGCCCAAAAAGGAATCCCACATGGCGATGAAGTTTCTGCAACTAAGGCAACTAATGCAACTAAAGCCCTGAAGCCCTCTGCTCTATGTTCAGACTGCCACGGCCTGGAGGTGGCGGCGGAGGCTGGCCGGTGGGCACCAGGCGCTGAAGGAGAGAGCGGAGGCTTACAAGGCTTAAACAAACTCTCACAGGCAACGACAACGACAACGCTGCCTCGGCAGATGGAAAAAGAATTCAACAAGAAGTCTAAAGGCCTTTGGTGGCAGCGGCTTCGCACCAAGCTCGCCAGGCCTGCGAGCCAGCAAGTCATGTGACAGCCTGTGACGGCCATGGCAGCTGCTGCGACGCTTATACAGCTACTGCCCCTAGAACATGAAGGAGCAACTACGAACATTTCATTCTTGCACCTCGTGCCGGGCGGGTTGGCGGACACCTGTGCATGGGGCCGGTGAGAAACCATTGCCAGAACAAGAAGTCATGGCTCAGAGTGGCTGCAGTATCTGCAGTCAGGTGTGGGAGCTTTGGTCCTTCAGGCAGCTGATCTGCAGTACTGACATGTGTAGCAGTGCTAGAGTCTGAGTGGCAAGGATGCCGTGACACCCCCTGAACCCAAGCTACCAAGTCGGAGGCGGCTGCTGAACTTGTGCCTGCGATTGCCATGGCGATGGTGGGGGCCGAGGCCCTTCGGACACCAGCTCCTCAAAGGGCCATTCTGAGTCGTTACGGAAGGCATGGCAGGCTTGAAAGGGGGTTCCGGGCTGCTTCAAGCTTGAGTCATGCTGTGTCGGGCACGCGCGTGCACCCCCACATTAGCCCTAAATTTGACGCTCAGTGCTTCTGACTTGTGCTCAGGCCTTGGTTCTGAAGACCCTAAACCCCAAACCCTAAACCCTAAACCCTAAACCCTAAACCCAGGTCCCTGCTTGGTGGCCTCTGGTGGTGGAGGAGGCGGGCTCGAGTCCTCCTCGATCATTTTGATGGCGGCCTTGGGATGAGCCGGGAATCTGACCGTTCACGTCCGCCGACCCCGAGGCGGTGTGTTGATTGGCTCTGGGAAGGAACCCTCACCTCCCTTCCACCTCCAAAACTTAAAGGAGGGGATGGTTGGACTTCCTGAGGGCCCTTGACACCCCCAAAATCCAGCACTAAGGATAAGGAGGAGGGAGGCGCAGGCTGTGACGAAGTAGCAACCTTACCACCGTCCCCATAACCATCCTTGTCTTCAGGTGGTCCCTCCATTGTCTCACCGCCATGGTTGGTTTCAAGTACAAACCATGAGCAGCACCAAGGAAAGAAGCCACCGTAGGCGGGGACGACAAAGTAATTTCACTGCCGTCCCCACCATCGTTTGCTTCAAGTGGGTCAGTCTCTGAGGTCACCCTTGAGGCCCTTTGCACCAAGAGACACTCCTAGGCAATAACTCTGCCAGCGATCCCCCAGTCCTCGCCTGGTTTTTTTGCGGGTTGGATTTCGGGGGGCCCTGGTTTGAGCCACCTGCCAAGGGTGGGTTTCCTCCAACTCCGCCTCTAGAGTCGGCAACGTGAGTGGGAGGATTTGAATATTTTCGGACGAGGGAGTGCATGCCACAGTAGACAGATGTGGGTGCAGGTTCTAGGCAGCATCGTTTTTGCAAAGGCAATCGATGAAGTGAAGAGCGTCGGCATGGCACAACCTGTTGTTCTGGCTGATCTAACCTAGCATTCGCCTGTACGTTGTACATTGGTAATCTGAACTTGTGAATCAAGAGAAAAGAACAGATGTTGACACTAAACGAAATACTCTCAGCGAGCCCTCGTCCTTCACAAGCCACGTCAAGGCCCCAGCTGGCGCCGTCCGCCCGAATTTGGGCTCAGGAAGCTCGGGCGGCTCGGCACTGCACATGGAAACAGGATGAAACAGGGCACATGGGATGTTGAGTCTGAGTCTGGTCGTCACGCTTGGGGATTTGCGACTTGGGAGTCCGGAGATGTTGAGAGTTCAGGACTTCCAGATGATAGACTCATAGACGCCCAGACGAGAATGCCTATAGCCGCATAGCTTTGTGCGAAGCCCACAATCTGCCTTCCCGATCCCCGGCCCTCTGGGCACCTGCAATAGGGCTGCAGCACCGGAAGGGCAAGAACCTTTCCAACAGTCAGCGAGAGCACGCCAACAGATGCTTCAGTTTGCGAACAAACAGAACCACGCAGCTACACGCATGGGGTCCTTTGGAGTTTTTCACAGGCAGCGGGGTGTCCCCCAGCAGTGTGACTGTCTCTACCGTACATAAGTGGGGGGGGGCCATGGGCCTGTGCTGCCTATGCCCTTGCGCTGCGCTCAGGGCCGTCCTGCTCCGCAGTGGGCCGCTCGTCTGCGTTCTTCGCCAAGAGCAGCCCCACGAGCTTGCAGAACGCAGAAAGAAAGCGCAGAGCGAGATTTACTACAAAAAGATAGCAAGCTGTACCACCATTATGGTTGGGTAGTTTGGGCTGAGGGTTGACTACGCGGTGCCTCTGAGACCTCGGAGGCATAGATATCTGGAATGGGGTCGTAGTGCTCCGACACCTCTCACGGAGACTTCACACGACGCGTTGCGAGTCCGCCCTAAAAAAGGCAACTCAGGCTCAAGCAATGCAGTACACCAGCCCCAGAAGGGATTGTGACCTATCCAGCCAAGATCGAGGCACATGCCCTGTATCCGCTGCGGAATTCTTTTTATGCAGCTCCAAACACGAGACCTCTTCCACATTTACACGCTTTGAGAACCAACACAGAAAACCACATTCCCACTCCCGAGACTCCCACTCAAAGGCATGCCGCAGGCGGCACCTGGGTGCATTCAGGCCGTACATCCGACACATGATACACATGCCTACAGTGGCACCACAGTCTGCTGTTCTGCGCTATCCTAGGGTGCTGGCATCTCGTAGAGGACGCATCCCAAAGACCACATGTCGCTCTTGTCCCTGTAAGGCTCGCCCTTACAGACCTCCAGGCTACTGATGACCGAATGCGCGCATGCAGAGAACAACAAGGAGCATACAGAAGGACTGTCACAGCACCTTTCGGACCATGCGCAGCACTCATGTTTCTCGGCGCTGTCTCGGAGCTGTCAAGAGATTCAGAAATGCCTCTCCTGTAGAGACTGTATAGAGTGTACGACAAGCTCCTGCATAACTGCACACAAAATCTCACAAGATTCCTCACAAGATTGTCCAAAAGCTGTCAGAGCGCTGAACGGAAGAGGAAGGAGCCCTGGAGTCTTTTAGGCTCCTCTGAAAGTTCAGCTCAACTTGTCTTCCTCAAGTTCCGGAAGTCAAACTACCTTTAATTTTTCGTGCTCGCGGGCATTCGCGGGCAGATCGCGAAGAGTCGGATGCAGCAGTCTCCTCTCGGCTCCTCCTCGGGTGCCTTGTGAAGGGGATCGACTTTGGCTGCAATGTCCCGCAGCATCTCAAGCGGCAGCCAGCCTCTTAAGGGCCTTGTTGCCGATGTCTGTTCGAAAGTGCATACTGGATTCCGTGGACTCCGGTGGGTCGAAGCTGATCTTCGACACGCCCTCATAAGCCTTCTGAAGCGCATCCTTGAGGTTGGCAGACAGGCCCGTCACGGCCAGCACACGCCCTCCGCTGGTCACGGGGCCAGCCTCCGCAGCTTTGGTCCCGGCATGGTAGACCTTAACACCCTCCACGGCATCGGCAGCTGCCAGGCCACTGATGGGTAGGCCCTTGGGGTAGGAGCCAGGGTAGCCCTTGGCAGCGCAGACCACCGTGGCGGCGGCGCCGCTCTTCCACTGGACTTCGGGGACCCGTGCTTTCATGTTGCCCTCCGCACAGCCCAGCGCCACCTCGAACAAATCCGAGTCCAACAAAGGCAGCAGGACCTGCGTCTCGGGATCCCCGAAGCGGCAGTTGTACTCCAACAGCATTGGGCCGTCCTTGGTCAGCATGAACCCACCGTACAGAACCCCGATGTATCTCCGCCCTTCCTTGGCCAAAGCCTCGACGGTCCGCTGCAGCACCTCCCAATCCAGAAAGTAACTTTGTAACTAGCACATGTTGTGCGGCAAGTGTGCGCAAGCAAATAGGAACAAACAATGTGCGAGAAAAGAGATCAGCGGTGGTCCGGAAGCTCGTTCGAAAGAGTACTTCTGGTTCGGGGCGGCAAGCAACCCCACCCAAATGCATCCACTTTCCGATGGCCGTGCCCTCGCGAGACGGAGAGAGCAAAGCTCTTGGATGTTGGATTCTCACCAGCCCTGATTCCAAAAACCCGCAAAAGCTGTGAATTCGTCACGTTCGCTGCTGCCGGAAGACAGGTTTGGGGGGGGGGGGGGGGGGTGGTGCTCAGGAGTGCAGGGTACAGGTGCGTTGAGGAAGGGGCATCAGCTGACGCAACAAAGCTATGGCATGATGAGAACGCCAGTTGGTCACTGACGTGCACCTGCGGCGATTACATGAAAATTGTCGCTGTGTACGGTGCATTCCCGCTCTGGCTTTGGACACCATGAGAATGCTGAAGGTTAATACGGGCCGGTCGCCCACACTTGGCGGTTTTTCAGGACGCTGCACAATGACATCCTCCCTACAGCACGCGCAAGTTGCCAGGGCCCCCTAGGGCGTTTGCAACATGTCACATGCCGTGTGGAGTCGTGGCATTCTGGTGCAGACGTAGTGTGATGCGGCATGCAGGCACTTTGGGCACACAAGCCGGAAGCGCAGAGCTTGGATTCATGCTTGCGTCGTTTGAAACGGAAATGCTGGGCTCTGGCAACATCGGATGAAGAACAACTCGTCAACTTCCGGAATAGGACAAAAACCACCGTCGAGAAAGCAGAAAGCGAATGTGTCTGCGACTGTGTGCCTCCTCCACCTGTACACGGAGTTCTGGGGTCAGGCAGGGGGCTGGGGCATAGGCACCCATCCCGCCGGTGTTGGGCCCCTGGTCATTGTCATTGACACGCTTGTGGTCCTGCGCAGGGGCCATCATGGCGGCAACCTGGCCATCGGCAAAGGCCATGCAGCTGCACTCCTCGCCAATCAGGAGCTGCTCCACGACAAGCTCGTCTCCAGCTGATCCGAAGACTTTGTCCACCATCACCTCCTTCACTCCTGCCTTGGCCTCCTCCAGAGACTGTGGCATGAGGACACCCTTCCCAGCTGCAAGGCCACTTGCCTTCACCACCACCTCCCTCCCAGCGGCGTACTGTTCCTCCACGTACTTCAGGGCTGCTTCGTGGTCTCCAGTCTTGAAATTCCTGTAGGCGGCGGTTGGCAAGTTGTACTTGGCAAAGAAATCCTTGGAGAAGGTTTTGGAAGCCTCGAGCTCGGCGGCCATCTTCGTGGGCCCGAAACAAGGGATTCCGGCCACCGCACACGCATCAGCGAGCCCCGCGCACAGCGGTGCCTCGGGACCCACAAAGACCAGTGCGACCTGTTTCTCCTGCGCCACTTTCACCAATCCGGCCACGTCGCTGTCACCAATTGCGACGTTGGTCATCTGGTCCTCCGTGGCAGTGCCTCCGTTTCCCGGTGCGCAGTAGACATGCCGGACTTTGGGCGAGTCGCGCAGCTTCACTGCGATGGCATGCTCGCGGCCACCGCCGCCAACAACAAGGACATCAGCCATGACTCTCAAAATAGAATGCCTGACAAAAGCTGCTGAGCCCAGGATCAGGAATCGAGAGGAATTGGGACTGACATTTTGCCAAAGAAGCTTCTGGCTTGTCCTACCATCGTTGTTTATATGTGTCTCTGCACCATGTAGTGGCCGCGGTGCCTCTGGAGACATGTAGTAAGGTGTCCCGAGCATCGTTGCGGCCACCGCGGTTGTGCTCTCGAGAACTCTGGCGATTCCGAAGTCACCGACCTCCAGAAGCCCAAGAAGCCCAGCTGCATCTCCAGGGCACTGGGTCACTGGGCACTTCAAGGCTTCTCAAAGGATCATGTTAACAAGATGTTCAAAGACATCGGGCTCCTGGCCTTCACTATGCGGTGGTCTTGGTCGAGCAGCCTTGGCTTAAGCAGGTCCAAACAGCGGAAGGAAGCATGCTCTACCGATGACTTGCAGATTTTGTCCGAACTGAACTCCACAGGATATTGCACACCGGGAGACATGTTGGACGTCTTCAGGTCACGATGAAGGATTCTGCACGAGTGGACCTGTAGCTGTCGCATTCGGTATTGTGTTTTCGAAAGGCTCTTTACCTCTTCGTCTTCTTCTGCGCTGTAGGGACCCTGGGGATCACCCCCCCCCCCCCGCGCGAGCGGTGCGCGAACGCAGTTCGCTGTCCACGTGAGACAGGCTCGTAGGAGACCCTCGTTTTTCCGGACCTCCAAACATACAGTTGCATTCTGCTGAAGGCTAGTTGCTACTTTGGGATCCCCGGGCTTCAGTGGAGCGGGCCGCCAAGTGATCTCCCGGTGAGACGGTCGGAGGCTTCTTGCCCGGTCCAAGGAGGTCAACTCTTTTTCTTGTTAAGCGCACAGCGCGGGGGCCAAGGCCAAGGACTGGCTTTGCACTTTACTTGCTCGTTCCGCAGGCTGTCTGCGCTCCCAGCGGCCATATGTGCGAAACCTTCCCAGTCCCACTGCACTAGCATACGACCCTTCACTCCCCTGCACCTCCAAAAAGCCTTCGCTTCCAATACGTTCCCCGAAACCTTCCCAACTCTCCCGTTTGTGTTTGGTGTTCCTCTAGGACTGCTAGCCGAGCTAGGGCATCCCCCGAGAATAGCACCTCTTTGGGGTTGTGTGTTGTTTCCGGTGCTATCAAACAAGGTGGTTCCCCCCCTCTTCTCTCTTCTCTCGACTCTCTTCTCTCTTCTCTCTTCTCTCTTCTCTCTCCTCTCTTCTCTCTTCTCTCTTCGCTCTTCGCCCTTCGCCCTTCCATCTTCACTCTTGCCAATTGTCTCTCCTTCGCCTTTCTCCGATCTCCCTTCTCCCTTCTCCCTTCTGGCTTATCTCTTCTATCTTCTCTCTTCTCTCTTCTCTCTTCTCTCTTCTCTCTTCTCTCTTCTCTCTTCGCTCTTCTCTCTTCTCTCTTCTCTCTTCTCTCTTCGCTCTTCTCTCTTCTCTCTTCTCTCTTCTCTCTTCTCTCTACTCTCTACTCTCTTCTCTCTTATCTCTTCTCTCTTCTCTCTTCTCTCTTCTCTCTCCTCTCTCCTCTCACCTCTCTCCTCTCCTCTCGTCCTCTCTCCTCTTTCTCTCCTCTCTCTCTCCTCTCTCTCCTCTCTCTCTCTCCTCTCTCTCCTCTCTCTCCTCTCTCTCCTCTCTCTCCTCTCTCTCCTCTCTCTCCTCTCTCTTCTCTCTCTCCTCTCTCTCCTCTCTCGTCTCTCTTCTCCCTTCTCCCTTCTTCCTTCTTCCTTATCTCTAGGGCGCGAACGCTCCCCGCGCGCGAGGCACGCCCCCCGCGCGCGAGGCACGCCCGGATGTCCAGTGTCCACGAGGAATTTATGGGCGAGAGGCTGCGGCCACGGAAGGGTTCCCCCGACAACAAACTCTACTAGGGCTTAGGGTCTCTCGCTCGCTTAGGTACTAGTGTGCCTAGCACGCAAGAAGAATCGTTTTCGGCCGGTGGGCACCCGACATAGCCCACTCCCTTCAGCATCTGCACGAAGAGGCTCAACACAGACTCTTCGGGCAGGCGCCTCACTGCCAGATGGAGAACAGGGCTTGAGGGATTCTATGAGGAGCAATCTTGGAATGATTCTTAGACCATTGGCACAGCAGCACAGCACAGCAGCCAAACTCAGGACCGGGCTCTTCTGCCGCCGCGCAGTTCTCGAGCCAGACCCTCAAGTCTCCACCTCAAAGGGGCAAGCTCAAGACACCGCACAGAGTTCTTGCATGATTTGTGCCGCGGCACCTGCACAGTACTCCATGACGTTGACGAGCGCTTCGCCCGTGTGGGGAGCTGTTCCTGACAGTGGATTTCAGCTTTTAAGCCGAATAGTTAGTCAAAAAAACTGGCCAATTTGAGCCAACAACTCGCCTCTGTGATGGAGGAAGGAAGTGTGGTGTTGGACCTGAGGTTTGAGGATCATGTCTAGAGTCGAAAAAGACGAATTCCTGATATGAGGACATGTTCATCGGTCACTAAGCAGCCGGCCACGTTTGGATGCTTGAGCCTCCGTCAGACTTGCTCAACCCATGGAGGAGTTCCCAGCTCTTGACCATCCCGCAGGGATCCCCTTCCCCCCACCCTCCCCCTTAGATCGGCCTCTTCAGGAGCTCAACCTCTTGTAAAGCCAAAGCGCGGTCTTTGTCCTGATAAAGCAAAACTACCAGTACTTGTCTTTCAGCACTAGCAGCCGCTATCACTAGCATTCGTCCTTGAGATGATCAAGGAATACGACTTTGGCCACAACCTGCGGGGAGCATCAACTCAGGCTCCAGTTCGCAGGCCGCAGGCTCACCACAGGGCCTGCTCGGGCTCTCCTGGCTTGTCAGTGCACTCCACGAGATGCCTGACGTGAGATTCGCTCTCCGCAGATCCACTCATGTCCACTGAGGCCACTCAGCCTTGGGGGGGGTGGGGGGGTGGTGGGGGGGGGCCATCTTGGGCTCATCTTGGGCCCCTGCGCTGTGCCGTACTGGCCTCTTCCAAGCAAGCGGATGCAGCGGAAGCCGCCGGCCTCCGAAGAAGCTCGAATCAAATCAAAGTACGATTTCCGACAGCTCTTCGCATTCTGCAGAGCTCTCTCAGAAACCGGCAGCCAAGATCTGCAGCTCCGGGCGAATGATTGTCGTCTCCTCAGTCACCACGGCTTGCATGTACACTGGCTTTACCACTTCAGGGGTGGTGGTGCGGCTTGGCTTTGCCGCGGCTTGGCTTGGGGCTTGGGGTTTGGGGGAAAGTGGGCTTGGGGGCATGGGGCTTGGCTTGCTTTGGTGCGGCCCCACCAGGTGTAGGTGCATCTTCAAACCAAGCTTGCGCGGCCGCTTCTAGGAAAAAACAAAGGAGCCAAGCCAGGCCAGGCCGCGAAGAGGCAAACAAAGGAGTCAAACCAAGCCAGGCCGTACTTGTCAGAAAGAAACGGGAGCCAAGCCCAGCCGAGCCAAAGCAGACCTCTAGAGATCAAGGAGCCAAGCCGAGCCAAACCGCACCTAAGAAATACAATGCCGAGCCAAGCCAAGTCGCACCTGAGAAACCACCCCCAGCCAAGTCAACCCCCGAGCCAAACCAAGCAAAGGAGCGCGAAAGCCAAGCCGCGCAAAAGACAACAAGAAATCTTTCGGGCCACTTTTACACACCTCCGAAGCCACATTTTTACTTTGCACTTTCTCCAGCACTTCTTCCAGCGCCGGAAACCGGTCGTGAGTTTTGCTCGATTGCAGCGATGCGCTCTTGCACCGTGATCGCCGGGAGTGCAGCCTGCCGGTAACAGGGCGGGTAGAACACAGTGATGCAGAGACAGCAGTGGAACGGACATCGATCACTTGGGCCTCGCTCGGATTCACAGGCAGGGCACCTCAGAAGCGAAAAGAGTGGCTACTTTGGGAATATTAGCTTCTTCCCGCAACTCCTTCCTGTCAGCAGGCAAGCCGCGGGATTTGGGAACATCTGCCCGCCCACTCGCCACCGCAAGGCGCCGGATTTCCAGATAGTCCATCTCGAGGTCTGCTGCTAAGACCTCCCAGCATTCCATCACTTCCTCCAAGCTGACGGCACCCATCTGTCTGCACCATCTCACAGCTTCCTCTGCGTAGTGGCCAAGTTGGTTGGCCTCCAGCCACGGCACGAGCCAGTGCCCAGCATCGCCGGCAGCTCCGCCGGCAGCTCCGCTGGCTCCAGCTGCGCTTCCGGTGCAGACCTGCTCGAGCCGGCGACGCTCCTCCAGCGACAGCTGAAGATGCTCCGCCAGCTCCTGCCAGCTTTGCATCACCTCTGCAACCTCCACGGCGCCCATTGCCTCGCACCAGGCACTGGCCCTGGTGCATTCGTGGAGAAGGCCACAAGATGCCAGCAGCGGTTCCAGCCACTGCGAACCCACCACATTCGGCTCCCTACTCGGCTTCGAAAGGCTGTCCATGAGGTCATCCCTGCTGTCAACTGCACCACCCAACAGGGAACAGGTTGATGGCTAAACTTTGACTTAGATTCGTACCTCTATTGATACAGAATCAGATTTACAGTCATGCCTCTACTCAGTAACTGCCTCTACTGAGAAATACTGGTACATGTCTCCCAGTAAGTCTGCTGGAATGCCAAGCAGCAACTTTGGACCTAGTACCGATGACTTGATCTTAAGCTTGCACAACACACCAAAGATCAAAGAAGCACCTTTCTGGCGCGAAATCATGCGCGGAACAGCTCATTTACTGCCAAAAATCCTGTAAGGCATACACAAGCTTACCAGGAGCACACCCGGGCCAGCGGCTGAGCTGCATGCTGGGTCTGCACCGTCTGCACCTGTCGCCTTGGAGGCTCGAGACCCAAAACCGTTAAACCTCAGGCTGCTCCGATGCCGTCATGCCGTTGTTAAGCCCCGCGCCATGAAAAGCACAGGACCAGGAACGGTACCACTGCAACATGCAGGACAGCTGTAGCTACGGACAGCAAATCTCAGCTTGCTTGGCACGCTTGCCTTTGTCTGGGCTGTGAAGCCTGGGACGTGTTAGTGTTTTTTTGCATCTGTGCGATAGCTCACTGGGGCTCCAAGTCTTGCGTTGGCGCCTGTACGGCTATGTGGTCACCTACTGTCACTCTTGCATCTGAGCTCAGCCTCGCAGGTCCCAAAACAAACCCCACAGCCGTGCATGAGAGCTTATTGCACATGTCTGCCACCATCTGGAATCTCAGCATTGCAACATCATCGCTGTGGCGGCGGCCTTAACTTTTTGAACCGATGGTGCCTGGGCCTCGTATCCGCGCGACATCTCAAAATCCTCAAGCACAATCCTGCACACTCCCAAATCCTCCCAGCGCCATAGGCAAGAGCTTCTTCGGAGTTTTTGGCAGAAGGATGTCACGCTGCAGGCTGGCGGCCTTTTCTTGTGTGTGGCGGAGAGTGCTTGCATCAAGCTTCGGCTTGGCAGCCAGCACATCCCAAGGGTGACAACTCCTTTGCAGCGTTTTGCGGAGCACTAGCACCACGAAGTCCAAAGAAAGCCGGATGCGAATGGCCATCTGGTGCAGGCGCAACAACGGAGAAGCGCTTGCAACTTTCAACATCACAAGCTCAGCAAAGAGCCTCCTTCATTTACCAAGCTGGCCTTCGCTGCCGGGGTGACAAGCCCTCGAGCAGCGAGCCAGTCAAGCGCTCAGAGGTCCTGTTGCCCTTGATTGCGGCCATGTGTGAATCAACGGCTCCTTCCTTGGTTTGCTGCTTGCTCCAGTCGTCTCTTGCCCGTGAAGCTACAGGGCAAAGTGTGTGAACTGCTTGCGCGTTTGACTTGAAGCCTCACTGGAACGCCAAACCCTACATGACCTGCCTAAAGGTGAGATTGAGACGCCCCGGGCGGCCCTCCATGTCGGCTTGGAGACTCTTCGGGGTGGTCCTCGGAAAAACCTTCGCAATCCCGTGGTGGAGCCGGCGTGCTGGGCCTCCGAAGATGAAGATGTCGCCTGACTTCAGCACACAACTCTGAGTTTCGGATGTTTCGGATGGGCCCATGGTGAAGAGAAACCGTGCAGAGCAGCCCAAAGAAAGCGAAATCACCGGAATGCCCTTGTCCAGGCTGGAAGAACTCTCGTCCAGGTCTTGGTGCAGACCTAGGGAGCCTTCCGCTGTATAGTGGTTGACGATGCAAGCCTCTGGCAGCATTTCTGGAAACATCTTCTCCTGACGCTTCTGGTTCAGGTCGTGCTGTATGCCAGCTGCAAGGTCCATGAGGTCTTCCGGCAAGGCAAGCACAGGAAGACCGTCAGAATCTGATCGCACAGCTGTGTACGTGTGCGAGACTGTGTCCCAATGATGCCCCAAGCAAAACGTGCTTAGATGCATCTGCCTACCCTCGAAGCTCGGCCTGTAGAATCCGGCTGGGGACTCGCCCAGCAACAATACACGACGAGCCAATCGTTTCTGCATCTCCATGGAGATCATGTTCTGAATGTGGACGATTCCATTTCCCAGTCTTCGGACTCGCACGGGGAACTGAGGGTCAATCTGGCAGTACCACTCCTTCTTCTTGGCCCGAACAGGCTCCACGGTCAATGCTGCTCCCTCCACCACGTGGCGAGTGGCTCTTACATGTGGCACAACATGCGGATCTGCAAACTTAACGTACAAATACCCTCTGCAGCGCTTCACGACCGTGGCAGGTCCAAACCTCAGGAAAGTGTAGGAAGGCGCAGGAAAGCAAAGACAAAAGCTCGGCAAAACTCGCCAAAGAAAACCCTCAGCGGTTCGAGGCTCTCGCTGCTCCATGTGCTGCAGGACGGATTCTGATGGCATCGCCGGTGGAACCCCGCCTGAAGCAGTTGTAAATATTCAGTGTCAACTCAAATCACGACGCCAAAACCTTGCCTACAAAAAGGACCGCGGCTGCCGAGGATCCGTCGGCTTCCGCCCGCTTTGACGTCCGCTGCCTTCGGCTTTAAAGAGGGCGGGTTTTGGAATCTTGGAGTCTCCGGTCATTCTAGAGCGCCTTGCGAGCCCAAGCGTCCGCAGTGCAAGCAGTGCCAGTGGACAACCTGCGACATACATCGAGAGGTCTTCGAGACGCACCAGAAAGCCTGCCCCCTCAGTCGTCTATGCCTGCTCGCCCACGCCGCCCTTGCAGATTCGACTGCGCCTGCTCAGATATTCTTGTGGAATGTCGCACAGTACTTTTCTCCCAAACAGGAACAGCTTCGAGCCTGGATTCTGGGCTCCTGTTCCCTCACAACGGAGGCTGGTGCCCACGAGCGCCCCGAGCGCCCCAAGCTCCAGAAACTCCCGATCATGTTGCCAACACGGTGTTCGTCTGCTTGTGCCTTTGGGCCCAATGCACCTTTTATGCACCTTGCCAGCTTCATCAACATCTGCATTGCGGTGTTAACGCTTGGTGATTGGAAGCACCACAGCCAGTCGAGCCTGAACATCTGAGGGCCAGCCAAAACATGGGTCTGCAAGTACTGTCCCCGATTCAGGTGATGGCAAGCAGCCCCCTTTTTTCATTAAACGATGATGCCCCTCCTGCTAAAGACTTGAAACACCAAACCTCAGAGAGTGCTATGTACATTCCTCGGTCCGAGGTGTGCACTGTTGGCATGAAGGATTTACACTTCACATAATATCTTTTGAACCATGAGTGTGCTTCAAGAGGATCAGCCGAATTGATGCGCGCGTGTGCGCCATGACCTGCTTCAATGGGATGTCAGCCTCATCCTCACCAAAGGGATGCTCCATCTGGCGGCTCACAAACTCTATGCCCAGCAAGCTGAAACTTAACGCCGTCTGCATTGACATAAGGCCCAGCGGTCCCGCGTATCCGATGATCGTGAAGGGAAAGCTAATGCAGAACACCAGGAGAAGGGTTCTCAGGTGCACCATGAAAGGAGCCGGAGACTGCTGCTTCAGCACCATCTGGCAGAAGCGGTAGGCCGAGTGCATGGCAGTGGCACGCTCATACATCCCACTGGCCAGCTCTGCTGAGTATGCCTCGAGCATTTGGCCCCGATGAATGGTGCTGAAGATGGAGTCGAAGCACCAGAGAACCTTGTGTGCCGCTTGGGCAAAGGCAATCGCATCTTCGGTATTCAGATGGGCATCCGGGGCCTCCCAGACGTAGGAGTCGTTGGCTGGGTGGGGCGGTTTGCCTTTCGACAGGTTCGCCTCCACGCTGGCGCAGCAAGCGTCCAACAGCCCAAGGAGCCGCTGCTCGTTCGCCTCTTTTTCAGAAAATAGATATGGCGATATACACATGTATATATATATATATATGTACATGCATGTACACACATATGTTTATATAAGTATATAGAATTGCTTATACACCTTTTTTGGTAGTTTAAAAAATATGTGTATATATATGTGCATATATATATATATATATACATATATACATATATACATATATATATATATATGTGGCAGGGATTTTTAGGGTTCATTTCGCTTAGCATCCGTATTCATCATATATATACACTAATAAAAATTCATTTTTGCCTTATCACTTATTATATGCCTAAATACATCACGACAAACACTACTACTTGTTCAATATATGATATTGAATTGGATTGCTTTTTTGTTGCTGAAGTCAGATTGTCTGCGACAATCCGCAGGAATATATACCTGCAACTTCTGTTGGGTGAAAACAAGTTTGCACAATCGCACGCACCTGACCACACCGTCAAGTTTCGGTAACTATGCACCGCATCTTAACTCCTCTGCTGCATCATGTTGTGCGTTCGTGCTTGGCTCCTCAGTTTGCTGCTGTCGTCTGAGCTAGACCCCATGTGCTGTGCAGCGAGGCAATCACGCTAGGGAGCTGCGGTAGAGCTCAGACCAGCCATCTCACACGTCACGCGTGGGAAGTCGCTGCGCGGTCTCATCCTCTTCAATCCTTTGTTAGGGTAGGGGTTCAGGGTTTAGGGTTGCTGGGTTAAGGGAAGTTCGGTGACTATGGTTCATTCTTAAGAGCCCGGGCAAACTCTTAAATTTAAGGAGGTCTGGTTTAGGGTTTCGGGTTGCTGTAGAAGGAGCAGTGTGCTGCTGTAGGATTCAGGTCTAGAGTTCCCTAAACCATACATCCTTAAGCTTCTGAGAAGCATCCAGGAGCCGAAGAAAACGTCCATGCTCTCCATAAGTATCCAAGGATACCCAGTCCTGTCGAGTCCATTCTAGGAGTTATGCTAGGCCAATTTTGTTCCCTTTCGGTTGCCTCCTCATAGGTTTTATGGTTTAGGGTTTAAGGCACCGGCTTTTTTTTTTTAGATCTGGGAACCTACATTAGGAAGGTTATAAGTTTCTTCTGACTTAGCTAGTTGATCGTATTGTTGAGGAGCGCGATGTGGAAACTACGATAAAAACCTAATGCTCTTAACCCCGAGATCCCAGAAACCATAAACCTTAAAACCTAAACCCTGCAGTTAAATCCCTGGGGACCTGATGGCATCTTGAAGGCCTGCTTCGGCGTGGAGCTTGGGGCTTAGGCTTAGAGTTTAGTGATTCGAGCTTAGGGTTTAAATTTAAGGGTGCAGGGTTTCGGGTCTAGGGTTTTTGGAGTTTAGAGCTTAGGGTTCAGGGTGTTTTGTAAGGAACACCAAACCCTAACGTAGGAACCCTTAACCCTCTCTCCCGCTCGGCTGCGAGCATCCACAACATGCTCTTAGCCCGAAAATCCTACGGACCCTAAACCCTAAGCCCTAAGCCCTAGACCCTACAGCTAAATCCCTGGGGTCGTGATGGCCTCAACTTCGCCATCGTCGGCCGTCTCGCAGGCCTCCTTCGGCGTGGAGCTTGGGAACGTAGGAACCCTTAACCCTCTCTCCCGCTCGGCTGCGAGCATCCACAACATGCTTTTAGCCCCAAAAATCCTACGAGCCCTAAACCCTAAGCCCTAAGCCCTAGACCCTACAGCTAAATCCCTGGGGTCGTGATGGCCTCAACTTCGCCATCGTCGGCCGTCTGGCAGGCCTCCTTCGGCGTGGAGCTTGGGAACGTAGGAACCCTTAACCCTCTCTCCCGCTCGGCTGCGAGCATCCACAACATGCTCTTAGCCCGAAAATCCTACGAGCCCTAAACCCTAAGCCCTAAGCCCTAGACCCTACAGCTAAATCCCTGGGGTCGTGATGGCCTCAACTTCGCCATCGTCGGCCGTCTGCAGGCCTCCTTCGGCGTGGAGCTTGGGAACGTAGGAACCCTTAACCCTCTCTCCCGCTCGGCTGCGAGCATCCACAACATGCTTTTAGCCCGAAAATCCTACGAGCCCTAAACCCTAAGCCCTAAGCCCTAGACCCTACAGCTAAATCCCTGGGGTCGTGATGGCCTCAACTTCGCCATCGTCGGCCGTCTTGCAGGCCTCCTTCGGCGTGGAGCTTGGGAACGTAGGAACCCTTAACCCTCTCTCCCGCTCGGCTGCGAGCATCCACAACATGCTCTTAGCCCGAAAATCCTACGAGCCCTAAACCCTAAGCCCTAAGCCCTAGACCCTACAGCTAAATCCCTGGGGTCGTGATGGCCTCAACTTCGCCATCGTCGGCCGTCTTGCAGGCCTCCTTCGGCGTGGAGCTTGGGAACGTAGGAACCCTTAACCCTCTCTCCCGCTCGGCTGCGAGCATCCACAACATGCTTTTAGCCCGAAAATCCTACGAGCCCTAAACCCTAAGCCCTAAGCCCTAGACCCTACAGCTAAATCCCTGGGGTCGTGATGGCCTAAACTTCGCCATCGTCGGCCGTCTTGCAGGCCTCCTTCGGCGTGGAGCTTGGGAACGTAGGAACCCTTAACCCTCTCTCCCGCTCGGCTGCGAGCATCCACAACATGCTCTTAGCCCGAAAATCCTACGAGCCCTAAACCCTAAGCCCTAAGCCCTAGACCCTACAGCTAAATCTCTGGGGTCGTGATGGCCTCAACTTCGCCATCGTCGGCCGTCTTGCAGGCCTCCTTCGGCGTGGAGCTTGGGAACGTAGGAACCCTTAACCCTCTCTCCCGCTCGGCTGCGAGCATCCACAACATGCTCTTAGCCCGAAAATCCTACGAGCCCTAAACCCTAAGCCCTAAGCCCTAGACCCTACAGCTAAATCCCTGGGGTCGTGATGGCCTCAACTTCGCCATCGTCGGCCGTCTCGCAGGCCTCCTTCGGCGTGGAGCTTGGGAACGTAGGAACCCTTAACCCTCTCTCCCGCTCGGCTGCGAGCATCCACAACATGCTTTTAGCCCCAAAAATCCTACGAGCCCTAAACCCTAAGCCCTAAGCCCTAGACCCTACAGCTAAATCCCTGGGGTCGTGATGGCCTCAACTTCGCCATCGTTGTCAGCCTTGAAGGCCTCCTTCGGCGTGGAGTTTGGGGCTTAAGGCTTAAAGTTTAAGGATTCGGGCTTAGGGTTTAGAGATTAGGCTTTAAGGTTTCGGGTCTAGGGTTTTTGGGTGTAAAGGCTTTTGATGCGAAGTCCTTCTAGAGTCGCAGGGTTTAGGGCTTAGGGTTCAGGGTGTTTTGTAAGGAACACCGGACCCTAACGTAGGAACCCTTAACCCTCTCTCCCGCTCGGCTGCGAGCATCCACAAAATGCTCTTAGCCCGAAAATCCTACGGGCCCTAAACCCTAAGCCCTAAGCCCTAGACCCTACAGCTAAATCCCTGGGGTCGTGATGGCCTCAACTTCGCCATCGTCGGCCGTGTTGCAGGCCTCCTTCGGCGTGGAGCTTGGGGCTTAGGGCTTATAGAGTTTAGGGATTCGGGCTTAAGGTTCAGAGTTTAAGGTTTCGGGTCTATGGTTTTTCGGTTTAGAGGCTCTTCATGCGAAGTCTT